TCTTTACAATTTATAATGGCATTTTTGGACATCTTTTTTGCTGGAGATACTGTTGTCCTAAAAAATGTAAAAAATAAACAAATAAAAAACGTAAATAAAAAAAATCTTATACATACCCTAGAAAATTTGGTCTGTTTTAAAATTTGGACTTTTCCAAACCGCAGTTTACCTTGAAAACAGTTATCGTCCCATATCCAAACTATTGCACAGGAGGTCTTATAATTTTTGCCCCTAACTGTTTATTGCAATACAGTATATGTTACTTGCATTTGAGGTGCTTTCCTTGTCAGTACAATCACTTTTGTATGTTTAATTTGATGTAGACACCAAAATGAAATCACTTGTGTTTAAACCATTGATTATTCAATATAAAATAATTTGAATTCAGTATTTCAGTGCCATCAGCATTGGTCCCTGAAATACTAGATCACCCAGGAATGCATTGGATTCTCCATCTCTTTACATTTCTCAAAATCATTTGCTAAGCTTGTGTTGAAAGACAGAATTTGATGTGGTGTTTAGACTGACAGTCATTATGTTAGTGCATGATTTAACAGTGGATTACTGCTGCATAATCCTTAATACTCAAAGCTTCTTTTGTAAATCGATAGAATCATTTTGATCAAAGAAAACATCTGTTATTTTTTTCACACAAAACCAATAAGCAGAAATGATGCATTTCAAGCCTTCCTTCTTTTTATGACCGTTTCATGGGGTTAAAGCCAATATTTGCCATTGCTGTGTGCTGAGTCTGGGTTAAAAAGGTGAAGTAATTAAAAAAAAAGACTTTATGCCCTTTGGACCTTATAAACTTCATGTAATTTTCTTCTGCTGTACGTCTGTGTTTATAGTCTTGTTAGTTCCCTGTACGAAAATTGCTTTATTCTCTCCTGTCTCAGAGGAAATAGTGCAGTCTTCCTGTTTAGGCATAAGATTATTTGTCTTACACTGTTGGATTTGTGCTATTCAGCAGCTCTGTTTATTGACCTTATCTATAGTGGTTTTACTCATAATAGGCTTCATTAGCTTTTATGCTACCGAGGCACTGGTGTACTGTTGAGATATCCAGCTGTTATAATGGCTTGTGCTACTGAATCCATGTTGTTAAATTCACACCAATGTTTTGGATGACACTACACTTCAGAAGGAACTAAACTTACTGTCAGATAAAAACTACTGCTTGCTTCCCAGAAGCCCTTTTTTATTCCATACTAATTTATGGCGTGTAGAACACAACAACACAAGTTTTTTTGACACCAATGTTACTAAAACAAAGATGTGGGTGCCTGGGCGGGACTAAAAAATGAATAAATAAACAAAAAACATTTTAGAATCTGGTCCACAATGGCTTGCAGATGAGTTTGCACAGCATCATACAGGCATTTGATATGTTTTATTATGGTTTTATGAAGAAATCTTATTTCTGTTCAGTTTGCAGATTGTTATTAAAATGAGTTGTCATGTTTTGGAAGTTATGGTGTTTTGATATATTTTGTGTTGATCAACAGGATAATGACATTGAGCTGACTGGAAAACCTGAACGAGACAGTCCACTTCCATTATTTTTATTATTAGCTCATCTAATTAATTATGATTTCTTTTTCAGATCAAGTCTGTTTTTTATATTTATATTATATTATATTTTTTATATATTTTTTTTATTAGTATTCATTGTTGCTTAGCGTCACTGATACTTGGTGTGATGATGATAAAACTCATCATGTTTATGTATTACATAATGTAAAAATACTATGTATGCACTATGCATGGGCCGATATAAAATTTTGACTGTATGATAACCTTAGAGATATATATACCTACATATATATTTCACGATATTGAGATTACTGCTCAAAAATATATTCTTTTAAAATGTCTGGGTAAAAAACAAAACCCTTTTCCCCTTTGCACACAATACATTTTAGTTTGAGAAACATTTAAAATATTTTGGAGCAGTAAACATGTCAGGCTAAATAATTCAAATGAATCACTGACTTCTGCTGCCTTTATTGCTTTAAAAAAAGGCTGATTATTTTTACAATTTAAAGAGGCATCTTTGGAGATCTTTTCTGCTGGAGATACTGTTTTCCTAGAAAAAAATGTAGATAAAAAAATCTTACGGTACGGTATAGCAGAAAATTTTGACTGTTTTAAAACCTTGTCTTTTCCAAACAGTGGTATACCATGAACATGGTTATCGTCCCATGCCTAGTATACACCATAATAGATTTAATATTTTGGTATTATAGATCTAATACTTTTCTACTAATTCTGCTTATAGTTGAAGCTGAAAATTATTTTCATAAGGGCAATCAGTGCATTATTTACAGTTTAGTAATATCTCATAGTTTCAAACTATTTACCTTATTTTATTTTTTCTAAATGTGAGCTATTTTATGTAAACTAAAATATGTCATTAATCAGCCATTCTACAAAACATTTTTGTTGTTGTAAAAATACAGAAAAATTGTGTTTAAGTTTATTTATAAACTAATTTCGAGAAGATCACGTGCTTATGATTGAACACAGAGTTTCTTACCTTGGTTATCTTCGTTTTGAAGCATCCCCTCTTCCACCGCTTTCCCTTTTCCTTGATAAAGCAGCACGGCAGCCCAGTGGTTAGCACTGTTGCCTCACAGCAAGAATGTCACTGGTTCAAGTGTGCTTTTGTGGTTTTCCTTCGAGTTCTCCGGTTTCTTCCCACTGTCCAAAGACATGCGACATAAGTGAATTGACCAAACCGAATTGGCACTATAGACGAGCTCTTAATCAACAGTATATCTCTCCATAGCAATTGCTAATTTGCCAGTAGAAATAAATAAGCAGTTCTTGAGATCTACCTGAGCTCAAACTCCCCTCTCACCCAGCAAACGGGAAGGAGCCACAAGCTCAATGATCTTATGAGCTCAGGTCTCTCTTCCGGGACAGCATGCCAAACATGCTTTATCATCAGCTAAGTGTAAACTCTTGAAGTTACACTTACATTTAGTCATTTAGCCTTTGTCCAAAGTGACTTGCAATTGAGGGGGTACTTAGCATTTCAACAAAAACAGCTAATGCACACAAGAAGTACTAGTTATTCAAAGTAACTTGTCTGTGCTCAGAGAATTAACTGCTTTTTTGATCTCCTGGACCACTGAACTGGAAAAATCTGGAAACTGAAAAAAAAAAATCCTAGAGGGAAAATTAGTTTCATTTGTTAAATTTTCTTGTTAGACAATTTCCGTTTTCGTTATTGAAAATGAAATATGTTACCAAAAAAGTAAAGGCATGTCTGTGTGACGCTGTGACAGAAAAATCTGTATTTCAATGACTCTTTTGATTTAGGGATTCAGTAATTCATTCGTGAAGACAGCTGGTGCATCAGAAATTGCATACTGAGGTTTTTACTGTGTTTACTGAATTTAAATGTGCTTTTATAAAAATAATAGTAATAATAATAATAATGATGATAATAATAATAATAAAACATTTTATTTATGCTTTTCTTAAGTTTAAAGTGCTACAATAAATGCAAACAAAAGAGTAAATGACAAACTTGCATAAAATAAAAGTAGTAAACGTAGGGACGAACAGGCTTACATGATCCCATCCACATCAATGGGATGGCCGTTGAGCCTGTCTCATCCTTTAAGTTCCTGGGGACCCACATCTCAAAGGACCTTTCCTGGTCCACCAACACCTCCAGCCTGATCAAGAAGGCTCACCAGCGCCTATTCTTCTTAAGGCAACTGAAGAAGAACCAGCTTTCATCAGCCGTCTTGGTGAACTTCTAACGCTGCACAATAGAGAGCATTCTGACAAACTGTGTCACAGTCTGGTATGGAAGCTGCTCTGTTGCTGAGCGTAAGGCAATGCAGCGGGTGGTGAAAACTGCCCAACGCATCACAGGGACCACACTGCCAGCCATAGAGGACATCCAGAAGAAACACTCTTTGCGCCGAGCACGCAGTATTCTGAAGGACACCTTTCACCCTGCTCACAGACAGTTTTCTCTCCTGCCCTCCGGCAGGCGCTTCAGGCTCCCCCGGACAAAAACCAGCAGACTGAGGAACAGCTTTTTCCCCAGAGATGTCTCCCTCCTGAACTCTGCCCCACACTGACTCTTTTGCCCCCCCAATACACCCCCACTCTCCTCTAACTTAAACTCCTCGCAATAACTGCACTGTTTAACATTTGCACATTTAAAATGTGCACATTCACTGCACCACATTGAACTGTTTGCTTATTGAACTGTGCATACCCACTGCATATGGGCATTTGTAATTATGTACACACCCACTATACATATACACTTGTAATCATGCTTATTTATCTGCATACTACTGACTATTAATAGCAACCTGTACATATATTTATACATTGTAACATATAGACTTGTAATCATGTTCATCTATCCCTGTACATATATTCATACATTGTAACATATACACTTGTAATCATGATCATCTATCCCTGTACATCTATTCATATATTGTAACATATACACTTGTTATCATGTTTATCTATCTGAACACTACTCTTTATTTATAGCAACCTGCACATATATTCATATATTGTAAATCTGTTCATAGCTTATCCAACCTGTAAATAATGTTCATAGTACATCCATCTCTAAATATCACCATAGTTTTCTATAACTGCACTTTATAACTTATTCCTGTATCCTGCACTTGCTGCTATTGCACTGCTGGTTAGACCTAAACTGCATTTCGTTGCATTGTACTTGTACATGTGTAATGACAATAAAGTTGAATCTAATCTAATTTAATCTAAATTACAATGCAAAAGTCAGTAATAAAACCATAAACATAATTACAAATAGCATACAACATTCACAGTATAGATGCACCTTCTCTGATAAGCCAATTAATTGAGACCGGTTTTCCTGTCTTTTTAATATAAAGCCTATCAGTATCTGCGTCTTCCATGACTGACATAATATTGTTGTTTTATTATTGCAGTGTGGCTAACGTGCTTGTTTTTCTCTCCTTCTGCAGTGCGTCGGCTGAGCTGAACGATGGTGAAGCCAGACATTCACACTCTGGCCCACCACCTGAAGCAGGAACGTCTCTATGTGGCATCAGAGAAGCAGCTTATCCAGCGGCTCAACAACGAGGTGCTAAAGACAGCAGAAAGGCTCTACCGCGCAGCCTGGATCGCCAAACAACAGAGGATCAACCTCGACCGCCTCATTCTCACTAGGTGACACTCTTCTTGTTTCATGACTCATTAAATGTATCCCTGACTCATACCTGGTATTTAGATGTGTGTTTGTCTATGCGGTCATAAGTAGACAATGCTATGTACAGGTGCAAAATGTTTTGAGTTGTCCACTTTCGACCACTTCCAGAGGTGGTCAGTATACATTAGATCGGATTGCTCTAACAGTGTGAATGCATGAGTGCGGTTGAATCTATTGGAGCAGCCACTAAACACCACCTTCTCTCACCTATTGAGCTCATTGATAAACCCAGCTGCTGGAGAGGCCTATTTAAATCGTCATTGACAATCGTAGGTATTGTATTAGAAGCAAAACAATATCTGTATATTTGAAGCCAATATTCTCAGCACTCACCAATTTTTACAGATGGTTCAAAGGTGGAAAATAGCCTGTGCTTTACTTTTAGCATTGGAGTATATAGAAAATGCCCAACAAAATAAATCTGTTTTTTTACAGACTCCAACTCGGGCCTCCAAATGATGGAATCTACAAAAAATTATCATCCTGTGATTGATAATATTTTAACCAAAAGTTCACCGTCTAAAAAATCAGTTTTATCACATCATTTTTCGCTGGGTTCCAGGACATGTCGGGCTTTCAGGAAATGAGTGAGCTGATACAGCTGCTAAAGATGCTTTGAAGCAAGTGGTGAACCAATGTCAAATTCCTCTTTTGGAGATGAGACCTTTTATCAACGTTTACTAGGGATGTAACGGTATCAGAATTTCGCGGTACGGTAATACCTCGGTATGAATGTCACGGTACGGTATTTATTGAATCATTTACAGGAAAAAACAAAACTTATGAAAATACTCCAAAAAAGTGCCAAAAGTGTCAATGACATACAAATTAGCCATCTATCTGTAAGCTTTGAAACAGGAACTTAAATTTTAATAAAAAAAAATTATTAAACCATGTAAAAAAATAAAGTTTCAATTTAGTATTGTTGAAAACTCATCACATTCAACATTTAATCACACTCAGCCCATCTACCCAGATGAGAGCTCTGCTAGTCGGACTTCTCATCAAGCATCTCCCGCTGGATCTAATCTCACTATATTTATTAAACGGGATATTTCATTTATCTTGTTGTCTTTATCTAACGACATATTCCCTGACTTTGGGCATTGGAATCTATTACTTGTTCTCAGGTAACGTGTTTTGGCTGAGCGCAAAGATAAGTTAATGATTAATGTAACCACGTACATTCTGTATATTGACTGATCGCCTTTATTTCCTATAATGTAAAAACTTATTGTATGTTATACTTGTAAAATGGCCATTATCGATTCTTAAAACTGATACTCAGCAAAAGAGAGGCTGTGTTTCGTTTTTTCACTGAAATTGAAAGGAGGCAGTTGTTATCGGCTCCGTTTTGTTATAAATATCCACACAGTGATGACGCTCATGCAGCACGACGCCTCAACATTTCTGCTGTCTAAGTTGCTAATATTAAAATGAAAATAGGCAGTTCCTTAAATCATGTTTACATTTTATTGTTGAGAAAGTGAAACAACGAAGCCAGGGTGATGTGAATGAAGTTATAAAGTACACTGTTCCCTTTGAAGATTTACCCGTCTCCTCGGTATAATCTGCTTTTCCATATCAAACTGAGAAGAAGAGACTGCAGCCTTGATCAAACTTGCGAAGTCTGAACTTACACGGAGATAATGCAAGACTGAACTGTGCGTGTAAAGCAGGTCGCACACCAGAAGCGACGCTCGGCGGCGCGCCGCGCAGCGCCACGTATTTTAGAATTCTAATTATAGGTTTCTATCAGGATACACACACCGGCGCCGCAAGTCGGCGGCGCCCGGCGACGGCTCAGGACGCAGTTCATTTTTCAGCCGCGCCACAGAGCGCCATCTGATTAGTTTCATGTTAAATATCATTCGAATGTGCGCGTCTGGTGTGCGATACTTTAATCTGTCATGTACGCGCCGTGTCGCGGCGCTTCTGGTGTGCGACCTGCTTTAGAGTTTTCCAGCTCTTTTCATCCCCGCTTCTAGCAGCACACTCCATTTCCGCATTACTGGATCTGTAGCAACAACAGACCGCAAGGGATGATGGACAAGCATGGGCTGATGGCAATTGTAGTTTTCGTTACCTCCCGTTCGCTTCATTCGCCTGAGCAAATTTTCTCAGAAGACCTATAGTTTTACCGAGTCATGCGACTTCGGTAATATCGAAAAAAATTAATATTGCGGTATGACGGTATTTACAATACCGTTACATCCCTAACGTTTACATTTTAAATAAGTGGCAAGAGGAATGGGATGCATTGGAAAATAATAAATTACATGAAATCCAACCTAAAATCTCAAACAGAATTTTTAGACTGTTTAAGAATCTATTTGATCAAGTTATTTTTCTAGATGTCGTATTAGGCATACAAGATTAACTCATGCCTTTTTACTTAAAGATAAAGACCTCTTCCTTTACCGTAAAACACATTTTACTGGACTGTCCTGTTTTTAATGATTCTAGAAGACTTTTTTTATGAAATGAACTCTCTTAAGGACATTTTTAGTAAAGTGACACCAGAATTTTTAAAAAATTCTTATAATTTATTAACACTAAAATCGTATTTAACTTGTGTATTCATTTGTTTGTTGTTCTTAATTGTTTATTTATTATTGAAATGTTCTTGCCATGAAAATAGCCTTGGTTGCCGACATGACAATAAAAAAAAATACATTACATATTAGAAACAAAGACAAATCAGTCACGATATTTTTAATCTTTTTTTGTTTTACCTTGCAAAAATAAATAGGGTGAAATATGTCTCATACAGAGCTCATGCAGCGCTCGTGAACCAGAATTTTATAATAAGATACATGTTTTTAAAAATTGAAAATTATTTTATGCTATTTAAAGTAACATTCAGAAATGTGAGTTTAAGCCTCAAATCCTTTGGATATTTGGATGATGTGTCTTAGGGCTGGCTGTACCATATTGGAAAAATTGCGATGATTTTCTTTTAAAAAATAGTAATTTTTTTGATCAATTCAATTTCACCAGAAGGTAAATAGCTCTATTTGGAAAGAACTCATTTACATTGAATGGATGATGCTGTAGGAGATAAAATTATGCATAAAATATAAAAAATAATTACAAGCATAAATAAAAACAAAAGAGCAAAGATAATTAAACTGTGGATTTCTAGGAAAGGTGCAGAAATTGAATAATAAAACTGTCATCATAAAAATAACTCAAAATGATTCTTTATTAACCTCCCAGTGCTTAGTGGCCACATATGTGGACAGCACATTTTAGCTCTTAAGTGGCTATTTAAAATACTTAAAATGTTTCATATTTTGTTACAGACATACAGTGTCATCCTGCAACTGTTTTGCAGCATATGAAATGTCCCAAACACTAACTGTCCAAAATGGGAAACAAATGTTGTTTTTACTTTCTGATAGTCAAAACATGTTCAAAAATGTTCCGTGTTAAATATGCATTACAAAACAGTCAGGAAAAAGTGTTTTATGTAAATTCAGACCACGAGTCCACATATATGACATCATTTTTTTCTAAAAGTACATCATATCAAAAGATGATACTTAGGTTTTTATACTAATTAGGTTCCAATAAGCCCAAATAGCAAAGAGAAATAAAAACATGTTGGGCCTTAAGAAGTTAAAGTTACAAATAGTTATTTTTTTGACTAAATGCTTTAAACTCTCCTGAAATGCTCTTACATATACGTATAATAAACTTTTACTCCATTATGGTGAAACTGCAGTGATTCCACAAATCTCATGTCTTCTGATCTGGGGTGCTGGTCAACTGTAATATCTACATAATGATATCAATGTTGAAACTATTTATAATATGCAGCATTAATCTTAATATTGACCTAATTTATTTAATTTAGATGTTCTGAAATATTTACCATAAAAACAACAGCATATGAACATATAAGTTCCTTTAGACACTTCTGCACGGTAAAACTGTAAAACCGAACCGTATCTAGGCCTAATAAAAGTTTATGGGAAATGAAATGGTATCTATAATTTCATTAGTCAATGCGTAAAAGTAACTTGTTTATAAAGCATTTTAACTGTTCTGGGAGATTACTTTTAATATTATCTTTATAGTTTATGAAAACTGTGCTAGATTTCAAAGTGTTATAGATCAGAGAAATCCAATACTCACCCAGAAGAGAAGTTTTTGAAAGTTGACAAAATAAACGCATTTAAATGGCAAGTGTGAGCAGTAAGGTGTTTCTTTTGTCCACTTTTGATTAGATCAATGAAAATGCACCTTAATACCAGTGCAAACTAGTCCTCTGAGATCACTTTGTGGATTATCTCAGTGGTAGTGGCTGGGGAAAGAGCCGAATGAGTTATCTGGCTTTGCAAGTTCAGGCATCTGATTGACTAATGCTTGCTTTTATGTCTTGCATAATTTCAGACTTGGGAAAAATATTACTCAGCCTAATGTTCCTTCAAACCTGTATATGTTTTTTTTTTCTGTTTGAAACATTAAAAAGAAGCTTTCTTTTTTTCTTTTTTGCAGTTGTTCTAGTTTTGAGTTGCTGGGTTGTAGTTTTGTGCTGTCATCAGTGATAATACCATAATTGTTGTTGATTTTAATAAGGTGTGAACTGACAGCGAGTATGTCACTTTTTTTTTATTGTGTGCCAGTATGATTATAATTTTGATAGTGATTTTGTACAAGAACAGCCCACTATATGGTTAATATTTACAGAGTTACACTTTAGACTTAATGTTATATTTTTTCTGCTTTTCCAAGCAAACAAAACAAGAGCTGAAAATCATATATCTTAAATCTCTTTTAACCTGAACCATGAGAAATTCAGTTATTTCTTTTCATGGCTTAATTTGTCCATGAAACTGTAATTTTTAAAGATTCAGTTCAGATTCAGAAGAGTAATTCAGTCAATGACTACGTTTACATGGACATCAGTAATCAAATTATTTGTTTTAATCTGAATCAATAATATGATTAAGGTGTTTACATGAGTTGCTTTTTGAACATTCCTTTCGTTTTTTTTTTACATGTTACAGCACATAATTCGATTAACGTCATTGTCACCACAATATCCACATTTCCTCTGGAGTTTAATGTAATTTCGGGTGTTTCATTTTTAATTTGTCGACTTTAACTGCAGTTTCACTTTCATTCAGCAACATTTCATGCATGCCCCCCATGACAAACAAGATATTAGATGAGAGTAAGAACTGCTGGAAGAGTGTTGTTTTAATGGAATTTGATACTGCACGCTGAATGCAGGAATCTGTCGTCCTTCAATGCCTCTGTAGCTGCAGAGAATAGTGTCAAACAGCTGTGTGTTTATAGACTGTCCTGACGCAAAATACGGTGAAAATCCTACACAATGGTAATAGTTTGATTATTCCCTTTTAATATTGCATGATTAAGGAAATCAGCAAATATTATCTAGATATTTTTTTATCTCGACAGCATTTGCACCTTCACACCAATGAATTTCTGGGTCAATTTCTGGCTTATTTGGCATTTAGTCCTCTAAATATGTCTATTTTCTTTCCAGTGCCGAGGCCTCACCTGCAGAATGCTGCCAGCATGCCAAGTTTCTGGAGGACACACAGTTTGTGGATGGTTATAAAACACTGGGCTTTCAGGAGAGCATCTATGGAGAGTTCCTGAGCCGATTGAGGGAGAACCCGCGATTGGTGGCGTCCTGTCTGGTGGCAGGAGAGAGACTTAATAATGAGCACACACAGGGGGTCATACACACTGTCTTCACCACTCTCTATGGCAACTGCATCATGCAGGAGGATGAAAGCTACCTGCTGCAGGTAAAAGAAATGTATATTACCTACATACCTATGTAAATAAGGGAATAATATTTCCTATCTTACATACCCATGTATATAAGCATATATGTCTTTGCTGTTATATTACCTATAAGATAAGTATACATACGCTGGTTTACTAAAACAGGCCTTTTCTGACAAATTCTGACCCTACCATCTGAATAATGCAGCAGAAATCAAGACCAGACAGCATTTTTCAGATCTTCTGTTGCTTAAATTTAGCTTTTAGTTTGTTGTTGTTTATCGATAGTAGTTTTACTGGTGTAGCTTATCTGCTTCAAGGTTTGATGTGTTGAAAATTCACATATGCTCTACTGCAGACTTCAGTTATATCTAGTTGGTTATTTGAGTTACTGTCCAGTCTGACCATTCTCTTTTGACCACTAGGCATTGGATATTTTTTCTTTTTCGGATCATTCTCTTCTCACTGTAAAACTGTAGATCAGCAGTTTCTGAACTGATTCGGAATTAGTCCCAATAACTTTGCCATGTGTAAAGTCAGCTAAATAGTTTTTTCCCCTTCTTTTGATGGCTAACTGTTTATAATAATCATTTTAATGCGTTGATGTTTTGATCAAGAAATGATTCTTTTCGATTATTAAAACTAGAGCTGTGCATTTTGGACAAAAGAAATATATCATGATTTTCTTGAACAATATTGCGATTTTTGATTTTAATCACCATTTTGACACACAAATGTTTTACAGTGTGAATCTGAAACATTTTCTAAGGAAAACAATTAGGTCTTTAAGACCTGTAACAAAAAGGTGTAACAAATTGTGTGTGTGTGTTGTGTGTGTGTTTTGTGTGTGTGTGTGTGTGTGTACCATCAAACTCATGTAAGGCTCCAATGTTTTTCTTGACCACATATCAGAAGTAATACTTTTTTTTTTTTTTAGAGCAAAGCACGTTAAAAATAATGAAGGAAGCAAGGCGCTCATGCTTTTCATGCACTTTTAGAAGTGAAATGTGACTGACAAGTCTTACAAATTACCTGGCTCTTTGATGGATCAGCCTTCCTGTATCCAAAGTAATCCCACACCATAGATGTTGACTTTGTTAGAGCACAAAGTCTTCCAATGCTGAACTCATCATTCCTGTTTGTCATTAAGTTCTGTCTCCTGTTCTTGCCCTGTGTTTTGACCGAGGGTGTCCAAACTCGGTCCTGGAATGTCGGTGTCTTGCATATTTTAGTTCCAACCCCAAATAAACACACCTGAACCAGCTAATCAAGCTCTTTTTAGGTATACTAAAAACTTCTAGGGACGTGTGTTTAAGGAAGTTGGAGCTAAACTATGTAGGACACCGGCCCTTCAGGACTGAGTTTGAACAACCCTGGTTCAGACGCACTGTGTTATGATTGGTTTAAATAGCATACTGCAGGAGCACACAGAACAATCATGCTGTAAGGTGATTTTGGTGAAATTGTGCATGTTCAAATCGCGATTTTGACACTATTTCAATTAACTGCTTAGCCCTTATTAAAACTGTTGGGTTTTTGTGAAAACAATGATACCTTTTTTCAGTTTTCATTGTGTGAAATTTCTAACAACTGAACATTTATTTAAAATATAAGTATTTTATGACATTAAAATATCTTTACGGTAAAAATGTTCTTGATTAATGAAATTATTAATTTCTTTTGTATACTAAGAATTGGAAGTGCATGAAGTATATAAATATATACATGTTCGATGGTGTTAAACACTTATCCAATAGGTTTTTTGTCTAATTTTTGCTGTCCTACTCTCATCAGGTGCTGCGTTATTTGGTAGAATTTGAGCTAAAGGAAAATGACAACCCTCGTCGGTTGTTACGGCGAGGCACGTGTGCCTTCAGCATCCTCTTCAAACTCTTCTCCGAAGGCCTGTATTCAGCTAAACTTTTCCTCACCGCTACTCTCCACGAGCCCATCATGCAGCTTCTGGTAGAGGACGAGGACCATCTAGAGACAGATCCAGCCAAACTGATAGAGCGCTTTACCCCAGCCCAGCAGGAGCGCCTGTTTGGGGAGAAAGGCACAGACGAGTACCGCAGAAAGGTTCAAGCAGCAGTGGAGGAAAATGAGGCCAAGCTGGTGGCTCTTGTAAACACCTTTATCGGCTACTTGAAGCAGAACACCTACTGCTTCCCACAGAGCCTGCGCTGGATCGTGTCTCAGATGTATAAGACGCTGGCACGAGTGGAGAGGTTGGAGGTTGGGGAGGTGAGGACGATGTGCACAGACTTGCTGCTCACCTGCTTCATCTGTCCAGCCATCGTCAACCCCGAACAGTACGGCATCATCTCAGATGCACCCATCAATGAGGTGGCACGCTTCAACCTCATGCAGGTAGAGGATAATGCTGTAATGTTAGTTTTATTATCAGTTATATTACAAATTAGTGCTGGACAAAGATTGAGATATAAAGTATCCAACATAAAGGTTTGCATTTACATAATACAAGTAGTGTGTTTACTGTGTATTCGTTTGGTAAATAAACACACGCACGAATGCATATATTTTAGTAAATGATTATTTATTATATAAAATAGATATGTATATGATACAAATTAATTTTTATAGATACATTTTAATGAATAAAAATAATAATCTATGTAAAACTTTTGTTTTTAATTATGAGTGTGTATTCCCTATATGTAATAAATATTAACATCAATTTTTATTTGGGATACGATTACAGTATTTCCTCTAGAATTTTTTCCAGCTGTGGCTGTAAGCCTTTTTTACACAGATCTACTAACTACCTGTGGCGTTATTTCAATGACAAATGTCTTAAGCGCAGCATTACAAGTCGAGATCGCATTTATGCAATAGCTTACGAGCATGCAAATCTCTTTGCTTGCGCGCCGATTTCCTCTGCTCGTGCACAAAACTTCTTGTAGGCCCCCTCAAATATACGCTGCTCAAGCGCAGATCTTCTTGTGCACTCTTAAATAAATGCTGCTGATGTGCGATTTGGTTGATTTAGTTTATGTAACAAGTATGTCTCCAACATTTATTAGATTTGCTAGGAATATTTATGAATGTCTTCAATAGACCTACAGAGTGGTATAAATGCGTCCTGAAGTAAAGTGAAATGGCTATGAGTCGTGTTTGCTGGACTTGCACATCACGCACCTGTCAGTCAGCCAGTCAGCCAGTCAGTCAGTCTGCACGTTACCTTAAAGGTTCAAACAAATGACGCACAGCACTACTACGGTTACAGAAAAGTTTGCGCTGTTATAATCCACTTACCTTTTAATACGTTTTAGTGCGATTATCACTCGCTGTTAAAAAAAAAAAAAAAAAAACATGACTGAATGTTTTAATTGAAAAGCTGTAATGTAGCCGTTGTGGGATAAATTTTGTCGTTTATATTTGGGATATGGGATAAATATTTGCCATTGTTAATTTTAATACGTTAACTAATATTTACTAATGAGATTTTAGTATAATAATTTGTACTTTATCATCCTTTTGCAATTAGTTTAAAGCATTATTTGCTCTGAACATGTGAATACAATAACACAATACACCAAGTATTTTGGGCTTTTGTTATGCCTGTTAAAGTAATCTTAGATCAACATTGTGATATATTGTATACCAGGATAAAACCTTCTGCAGTTTATCACAAGAAAATTCAACAAGCAAAGCTAATTTTGAGAGAGAATTTTAGACATAATATTGTCCTTTTTTGTTTTGCTCAATATCACACCCTAAACTGTTATCTGGTGTTTTAGGTGGGGCAGTTGTTGCAGCAGTTAGCAATGTCTGATGCAGATGATGGAGATCCTCGACGTAAAAGCAGTTTATTAAAGTTTGACAAGGTAAGATGCAATCCCAATTAAGCCTGCACGATATTGGAAACAACTAACATTACATTGTTTTGTTTTCATGCGATATATATTATGACATTACTGTAACTTCATAAGATAATTTAAATGACTATTCTGAATTCATATAGTTTTATTGTGATAATTTTGTAGGGAGTTTGTTTATTATGAAGTACAGTAAACAAATTATAATTAGAAGAATAGTTTTTACAAAAGAACAAAGATACAAATTAAATGGACAGTGCTTTATGGATATTCAAACAGCATTGAGGTAAATGTAATGTAACAATGTAATATGATTTTAAACAATGTAATCAAATATAAAATAACACTATCAGCACTGTATAGTCTTCATTGTAATAAAAAATAAACATTTTAACTAGAAAAAAAAAACTAAAATTTATAATTTTGTAGTGGCCAAATGCTATAAACTAATTTGAAATTTTACTAAGCCACATGCCTTTTATTTGTTCACTGTAGTCTTGATAAACTTTGCTTGTGTTCTGAACGGTTTCCTGGTTAATTATAATCACAACTCAACATCGCAGAATTCTATTGGCATAATCAATACTAAACGATATATCGATACTAAATGCTATATTGTTAAGCCCTAATCCCAATATTGCAAAGCTTTCTTGTGTTTATATATGCTGTAGCAAATTCTTAGTAAAACCAACACCATTGTAATGATATGATTCTCAACACTATTTGATCACACAATTAAATATGTCACTGAACATTTGCTGATAAATTTTTTAAAGCCAAACCTCATATTTCCTCACATGACAGTGTGTATTGCAATTAGTGCTGTCAATCGATTAAAAAAATTAACTAATTAATCGCACTTTAAAAAAAAATTAATCACAATTAATCGTGATTAATCGCATTTAAAAGACTGAAACTTGCAGTTTTGGCTATTCGAGTGTAAAATTAATGTAAACGCAAGACAAATACTGTTTAAATTCAAAATATAATTCATTATTAGAATTTTTGTTTAACTTGTAACACAGATTTCTTCATGTAAACAACATACCCACAATAAACCATCAAGATCCTGGCTTGACAGCCATAATTATTACAGAAATAAAAACACAGGCATGTTAATGCCATTTGAATTTCAAAACAACCAATGCCAATAAAGAAAACATTGATTTCCATGTTGGATTCTAAGTGGACTGCAAAAAAATGCCAAAATACAGGAATTGCAGATATGGAAAATTTTAATAATAATAATAAAGTATAGAACATCTGTGCATGCCCTTGAATAGGTTTACCAACTCCCATTCTATAAAAGCACAAAAACCATATATAGGAAATAACGAGAGTTGACAAATTAAAAAACTACTTTTTTCATTTATTTATTATTAAAATAAAATCATAATCCACTCTGGAAATGTGGGTGCCTGTGTGTTTTAAGGGAGCCTAGAAAATAATGCGCATAACAAAAACTGCCTGCTGACGCACACAGTTAATGTTAATTAATAAAATAAAGATAAATAATAAAAGCAATGTGTCAGAGACCCTAAACAAATGTATAACTCAACAATGAAACATCAAACGTAGCTCACAGCTTTTACATTGTCAATCAAATGAACTTAAACAATTAAAAAATGCAACAAATATTTGTTTGGGCAGAACTACATGTAAAAAAAAGTTGCTTAAGTTGCACACTAGCCCGGCCCAAAAAGTATGTCGAAACAGTGGGAAACTGCCCGGCGTCTGCCCCTGGCCACAACAGGAAAAAAAAAAAAAAAGTGTTAATTGCATAAATTTTTTTTAACGCGTTAATTATTTCAAATTAATAGCATGCGTTAACGTGTTAATTTTGACAGCGCTAATTGCAATACATTGATTAAAGATTGAAATAAGTCAGATGGTGTATATTGTGTATCGACTCTAGTTTTTTGGTCTTTTCAGATGTGTGTTGCCGCCTTTTTGGACGTGGTCATTGGTGGAAGGGCTGTCGAGACTCCACCGATGTCGTCAATGAATTTACTGGAGGGCCTCACACGGACTGTTGTTTACATGACTCATAATCAGCTTTTAGCTTTGGTAAGTAATAAAGAAAAAGACACTCATGGAAGGAAGTTAATGTCAGCTGACTTTTATGGTTACGTCATCAAAAGTACAAATGAGCTCAATGTTGCCTTTCGCAAGGTTGAATGAAATAACAGGCCTGAGTAGTATTGGAGTGTGGGGTTTTGTAAGAATTCGCACTATGACTTGTTATATGAGTACTCCTTTGCACTTTCACATCCTTTTTTTTGGCAAAATGTTAGGGCTTCAAGAAATAGATTCAATGTTTCCGGAACAGCTCTCTTAAGATGAGTCTTTTTTTTTATTTTTATTTCAGCTTAGTCGATAAATATTCTGAACATAAAATTGACAATATTGTACATGCAGTAAAAAAGATATTTGATTTAATATTTACTTATGATTCTGTAAAATATAAAGATTTTCATCTTTATGTAATGTCATGTATAAATAAATAAACAATTAATAATACATAAATTTAAATAAAATGTAATAAATAAATTTACAAGAAAAAATTTATATACATTTTAAAATAAATAAGTGGAAATAAATAAAAGTGGAAAAATACTTGTGTGTATAAATCTAAAAAAACATGTATGTATTTATTTATTAATTTATTCATATTTGCCCTTTTACATTTACGTGTTACAAATAAAAATTATTATTTATACATTTGTAATTTTGTCAGACTTAGTGTTTCATACAGCTCCTGCACGTGAATCAGTACACAAGGACATTAACACAAAGTCTGATTGCACAATTGCAGTTTTTTTTCTTTAATTGTAGTTAAATCGAAACTGAAATTCTATTACCAATATCCAATTCCTGTAAGCGCTGTTAATAATGATATTTAGATGTATATGTAATTATGTGGTTTTATGCATTTTTGAGAACTACGAAAACCAGAAAACCCCTACTAAAAATTTATGATATTCTAAGTGTGGTCTCCTAGCTGTTCCTAAAACTCATCTGCGATCTAGGGTCGACAGGGTCTTTTGTCATTATGCTGCTCGCTGGACACTCTATGTACAGTTGAAGTCAGAATTATTAGCCCCCCTTTGAATTTTTTTTTTCTTTTTTTTTTAGATATTTCCCAAATGATGTTTAACAGGGCAAGGACATTTTCACAGTATGTCTGATAATATTTTTTTTCTAGAGAAAGTCTTATTTGTTTTATTTCGGCTAGAATAAAAGCAGTTTTTTTTTTTTAAACAAAATTTTAAGGACAAAATTCTTAGCCCCTTTAAGCAAATTTTTTTCCGACTGTCTACAGAACACACCATCATTATACAATAACTTGCCTAATTACCCTAACCTGCCTAGTTAACCTAATTCGTCTAGTTAAGCCTTTAATCATTAATGTCACTTTTAGCTGTATAGAAGTGTCTTGAAAAATATTTAGTAAAATATTATTTACTGTCATCATTGCAAAGATAAAATAAATCAGTTATTAGAAATGAGTTATTAAAAATATTATGATTAGAAATGTGTTGAAAATGGTTACTCTCCATTAAACAGAAATTGGAAAAAACAACTAAACAAACAGGGGCTAATAATTCTGACTTTAACTCTAGATAGATATAGATATACTTCTATAATTGTTGTATCATTAATGCATGTTGTCTTGATTTGTATGTAAAGTGCTTTAAGAAAGTAACTTTTACAGGTGCTATATAAAATAAATGTATTATTATTATTATTATTATTTATATTATTATTATTATTATTATCATTATTATTATTATGTCCATTTCAGTATCTTTGCACGTTCAGCAATTCTTTTACTTATCTCTGCTTTGTCCATGATACATTTTCATCCTTTTGCCTTTTATAACAGACCCAAAACATCATAGTATTGCAGACAGCCATTAACTGAAATTTCATCATACCTTTCTCATTTTGTTCTGTTTTCAATCACCTCTATTCATTAACATGTTTCTTTAATAATACATTTTTTAAGCATTTTTTCGTAATTTTACAATCACCTTTATTACTCAAATTCCTTAAATAATATATTTTTATACAACTTTTTTATATTGATTATCCTGACATTGTTTAAGAATCTGTTCTATGATTTCACACCACATACTGTATACAAACTTTTTAAAGTTGTCCCTGTTTTTAACCTCCTTAGCTTTTGTTCTTCTTTCAGGTTAAATCCCTCGTCTTTCATCAAATTTTTTTTATACATTTGAGAAAAAAATATTTCTAGCTTCAAACATAAATTGTGCCATTTTAAATTGAACTAAATCAATAAACTTAAGTATCTTCAATTTAGAAAATAAAGAACTTGTATGCTTCAAATATCCCACATTTTCTATCCTTCTAATTACCTCTGTATTGTGCATACGGGTTGTAAAATTAGATTTATATATATTTCTACAAATTTCAACACAAAAGCTCCTATTTGGCAACACAAGTGTGTTATATTATACATATATTGATTTATTGCCCATCCATCTCTGATATAGAGCAAGCAGTTTCAGATTCTTGAAAATAAACTTCAAATAAACGCTTTGATATCAGGGCCTTTAAGCCAAAATGTAGCAGCCAAGTAAATCAACGACTTTTTTCTGATCTGATATTTTACAGTTTATTAAATTGATAACTGTATCATGTCATTTATTAGTGATTACTAATCACTTTTTTATTCCTTTGGCACCCTTAACCACAACATATCACTCAGCTTTTTGCCATAGTCAGCTCTTACACAATATCTATAAAAAGTTCTCGTTCTGTCAAGAAACAAGAGATTGCAAAGTAGGCATGTCTGAACCGGTCCCGTTAATCCAGCAGTAACAGTCGCTCCACATACCTTCAAAGTCGTAATGCTTTAACTCTTCCTGCCCAGCACTGCTAACAGCTAATAACCCTGCCTTTCCCAGTTTTCTTCTCCGCAAGAGCAGCAAGGTGTTCATCATCGCACTGTCATTTACAGAGCCAATTAGCCCGACTCCTATGTTGTTATTGCATTAGACTCACTGTTTGAAATTCACTAATGATGATCGCTGAATAATGAGGCCCACCTGCTTTAATTACCAGGACTGATGAAGAATGAGTTCAAAGATTACCTGAAGACATAAAGAAATCTTATTGTGTATCTTTATAGGCCTTTTTTTCGATATGATATCGAAAAATACCTATTTTTTATTTTTTTTTGCTTTGTTTCCACCAAAATAAAATGTGCAGTGTGCAGTCGTTTCACAGATTCCCGCACTGGAGTTTTTGTTTATATTAACCCATGAATTGATTTAGTATTGTTGTAGTTTAGATATGTAGTTTATTGACACACTGTTATTTCCATCCACCTATTTTTTTGCACATTTTAGAATATTCAATAAGAAATGGTTAATGAAAACTGCAAGATGCTCATATATTTTGAAAATTTGCATTAAAAAAACTTAATGCGCACAACTGAGTTGGATTAACTTTTTATCCAATACCAAAATATGTGCATAAGCTACGATGGAAAGTCATTTGCTAAACAAATTTCAGTTTGCGCATCAAAAGTTTTGTGATTTTTGTTTTGACAAATAAAGATAAAATGGGACACAATGAGATTGTGGTAATGGAAAAACCTGCTAGCAGACCACATTGTAAAACATCTGAAATGTTGTTTTGGTCTTACTAAAACCTCTTAGTCCATGTCCGTCATTAAATTGGTTCAGTATTATTACCTCCCAGAGCGGTCTCAGACCTCTAAAAACCAGTTAAGACTGTTCATTGCGTTTTGTCTTTGTCTTCTGAGGCACAAGTAATTTTTCATATAAGAAAAGAATCGCACAGTGGCTTCTCCTACCACAGAAAGTCCGGTTAGATATTTGATGATCGTTTTATCAGGAAGTGGCGATTTTGCTCTCTTTGACAGGAAATGGTGCTTAATATGCAAATGTTTTATGCAATATTCTAGTCTAAGGATGTACTCACACTAGGTTATCTGAACATCGGCCGGTTGCATTTCCCGGTTCATTTGACAAGTAAGGGCGTACTCGCACTATGCTATCCGAAAGGTGCCCAGGCTGGTTTCCTAGATTGTTTGAGAAGTGTGAGTGCTCTGGATCGGACTTAGGCACGGTTCAGTTAGCCAGCCCTGGCCCGGTTGGAAAAGGTGCCAAAGCACTTGGGCTGTGTAAGTGCAAAGCACGCCTGAGCCTGAAAACTGAAGACGAGACGTGACTTTTAAGAGACTGTTTCATATGGATTAATTAATCATTCTTACTGTTTTATGAACGCAAACTGTCGTAGATTATTAAAGACGCAAACCCCTCAGTGGACGACAGCTGCACCTTTAGCAAACCTCCTAATGTCTACAGCACGAAGACTTTATGATTGCTTATGAACATCAAAAGTTGCTGATCTGTTCTGCGAAATATCTGACTGCGTGTCACTGCCTCCCAAAGTCAGAAACGATATAACGGTATAAAGAAATCTCCACTGTGCTGTGAGAGAGCGCTTTTTAAACTGAACAGCGCATCATCGATGATGTAGCGAGCTCGGGCCGAATGTAATGAGAGTGAGGGCCATTGCGGAAGATGGGAGGGGGCACAAGCGTGCTTCAGCCTGATTCAAGGCAACTGTATATAGTGGGAGTACGCCCTGAGAGTGTTGACTGTCCCTGGCCCAGTTGGAAGAGGTGTGCCAGAGCTTGGTTCGGTTGGGCTTTGGTGCGGTACTCCCCAGGGCTTATTTGTGCCAAAAAGCACCGGATCCGGCACCTCTGTAATCTGATCTGGCACCTCATTTTACTGATCCCCCGTTCATTGTTCACTTTCACTTTCCCAACCCTCTTCACTTTCGTCTGCGACAAACAACCGCTCTATACTTTCATCCTTAATCCTTTCAATCTGGACACCCCTCCGCCATCTAACATTTAATCCACTGCACCCACCCCCTGCTCTCCACTTTCGTGCGTGACACCTCTCCATCCTCGGGTTACATGCCGGATCGGTTACTCCGATCTGTTCCAGGACCTCGCAATTCACAAATTAAGCACTGGGTGTGCCTGTAGTGTGAGTGCAAAGTGCGCCAGAGTGCAAATCTGAAGACGCAACGTAACTTTTAAGGGACTGTTTAACCCTCTGGGGTCGAAGACCACGTATACGCGTTTTGACAGGTGGTGGCGTCAAACTGCTGAAATGAACTTAAATTACACTTTCAATTTTGATCGTACAGATAAGATCAGTACATCAATTGAATCTGTTAGGTGTCTACTTTTTGTTCTGTACACTCACAACAACAACAAACGTGTGTGCTTTTGCAAAATAAGGAAAACAAACAGTGTAGGCATTCTGTCTTTTCTCTCTCCGTGAACTGCTTTTAGAAACGAGTCAGTAAAATGCGCTAAAACTCAGCGAATACAAAACGCACACAGATGAGAAATGTATTTCTAGAAAACTTAAAGTGTCTACTTTTAAACGCAGCTATGCATGTTGAAAACAAACATTGCATGATAAAGTAATCAGTATGAAACCAACGCTATGTCTAGTTTCTCAGTCTGATCTCATTAGTTTTAATGCGACCACGCCCACGAGGCATTGTTATTACAAGCGTCTAAGGCGCGAGCAGACTGTGGTCAGAAAAACACGTCACTAAAATGAAAGGAAACGCAGCAAATAGTCAACAAAGAAGATAATTTATGATATCTATATAAAGCTTGATATGTCTACTTTTGCATTAACCAATTCAAGTCGAAAATAAATGATCTCTTTTTTATGTAATCCGTATAAAAGTAAGGACTGTACGGATTCTCCTATATCGCCTCATTACAGCAGCGTGGTCCCGCCTCTCAGTAAGCGCGCTTCATATGTAAATTCAGATGTGAAAACAATGGAGGTAAAGGACCAGTGGCAAAGAGAGCTAAAGTAGACAAGAAGTACTCCGAGTTTGCTCAGTAATGAGAGTCATTCCGACAAACTATTAGATGAAGATGTAGCCTTCAACTTCACAAAATGTTTAAAAACGCTACAGAAGTGGACCAAGATAAAAACAATCCTGCGTCTGTCAGTCTCTGCTGATGTCAAGAAGAAGGCCAGCGGTTACAATAAAATACTGCTTTTTTCCTGCCCTGCTCCCCATCACAGGATACCTGTCTGCAAGGTTACATTTCTAAGTGTCCTTTGTAAGTTTATTATTTAAATAATTACTGTGAATACTGAATGAGAGGATGATAACTTGCGCCAAAAGCTGCTGTGATGCACGCGACTGTTTAAAAGATTTCATTTTCGCACATGGTGTTGTTTTTCACCTGCTTTCTTTTGCTTACAGTAATTTTTGTTAATATGGATTAATTATCACTCTTTAAAATAACATTGCTCTAATATGAGATTACCAAAACTAACTCAGAATCGTATTATTATAATTTAAACTTTGTATATACTATTCCATATATTATAATGTATTGTTTTTTTTAACCATTTTAAGATGTTTGACAATGTTAAAATAATATGTTGCATTTTGGCATGTTTTTGACTTATTTATAAACTATTTATAGATATAAAGTTAAATTAAAAATATCCTGGATTTGAAGAATATTGTATTCCTGGACTTCACTCAGCTCAAGAAATAGTTTAATTTATAAAATTTTAAATGAACTTGACTGTTGATGTCTTAAATAATAATGTCAAATAACCAACATTTCTCAAAATGGATAAATCTAATTTTGCAACAAAACTCATTTACAAAAAAAATAAAAATAAAATAAATAAAAAATTAAAATCTGTAGATTTGCTATGTGTAAGTTTAAAAGTTTGCAGAGTTTTATACAGTGTACTGACTCTCACAAGTGTATCTCCAGTTATTTTGTGTGATTAATATATTTTAAATAAACTGCAAACAAAAAAGTAAATAATCTTTCCTCTGATTCCTTCTTGAAACTCTTCCCTCCTAGTCACATACTGTACCTGTCTGATGGCTCATTATGCAGCTCATTATGCAGATCTTTGTCTTCTCAGGTGTGACTCACTGCATAGTAATGATAGTTCACACCTTCCCGCATGAACCAATTTCACTCAAAAAGTGACTTAGAAATTTTAATCCATTATATTGTTTTCTGTGAGCAAGTGAACAAGATGATTCTCACATCATTTTAAAGTAAAAACACTAGACTACCAGATCCAATTCTCAAAGGTCTTGTGCACAAATGTTCTCTGTGTGTTTCACGGCCTTGTTTCAGTGATTTCAAAATTTTTGTTTTTCACTAACCACGCATAAACGTTTCTTTCTCAAAAACACAAACACATACAAACATGCTGCTTGGGTATTATTGTAGCCCAGCTTGTGCTGTTTACAGTGTTATCACACGTTAGCCATTTATATATTTTTAAGATGCTGAAAACAACACAAATGTCAGTGCATGTCAAAACTTTTCCAGAGCCCCAAAACACCCTCAGACCCCAGAGGGTTAATTTAAATTTAATAATCATTCTTATTTTTTTAATGAACATGAACCTTGCTGCACTTTCAGCAAACCTCCTAATATGTGCAGCACAATGATTTTATATAAGTTTATGAGCATCAAAAGTGGTGGATCTGATGAAGGGGAGGCGGACAATCGCACCCTGGCACGGTTCAATGCAACTGTGCCTAGTGTGAGTACACTTTAATTTGCATGTTTGGATGGAAACGGCTATTGTCATGTCATGATGTGTGAAAGACAATCAAAACACGAGCATCTTCACTCAAAGGAAAATGTATTTACTGTAAATAGAATGATTAGTATGATTGTTACATTATCATCACATGATTAGAATCATGTATTAAGTAATATACAGCAGGTCAATAGCACCGGCTCAGCTGTACAAACTGTTGACTGGTGCGTCTGTGTATATATTTTTTAAAATTAATATTTTTTTTGTGCAAAAATTATTTGTTAATGTGCATAATTTATGTTAAGCATATTAAGGAAAATCAGGCGAATGTGAGGACTTGAACGGATTACTTGAAGACACAAAAAGTTTCATTATATTTCATAAGAATTCAACTTGAAAAAATAATCTGAATTTTTGTTTGAATACGTTTGCCCACATGTTAAAACTTGTCTTATTTCTGTGTCCAGGTGGACTTTGTGCGCAGTGTTACAGCAGGCGATCAGCTCAGAGAGGAAGAGCATCTGGCTCTAGAAACTCTTCTTGCTAATGTTCCTCAGTCCCGCACAACAAAGAGCAACAGTCTGGAGCTCACGCCCTCAAACACACCCCAGCTCTCCCCTGCTACTACACCTGCAAACAAGAAGAACAGACTCCCCATTGGTATTGCTTCTATTTTAACTTTACCATTGATGAAGCAGAGACTAACACTGGTGATTGAAGCAGAGACTAACACTCTGATTTACACGCTTGTTTAAGATGTTCTTTTGATGAATTGATTCAAAATACATTAAACAAATTGACTTTTTTTTTTTTTACTTAATAAACCCACTCATTCCGATAGCTAACTGAACAAACTTTCTGTATGTTCATATTGAAAGCAAATTTTGTGCTTTTAAGGATGTGAAAGTTAAAATCAGTGCCATTACCAAAAAGTTTCTATAACTGTGTACCTTTTATGTAATGCATAATTTACATTCTCTCTCACACACACACACACACACACACACACACACACACACACACACACACACACACACACACACACACACACACACACACACACACACATACACACACACACACACACACACACGACAAGCAGGAAATGTTCATGGGCTAGTGACATCACTACATTGAAATAGTCTATTTCAGTGGTTCTCAAACTTTTTTCAACAAGTACCACCTCAGAAAAAATGGTCTCTCCAAGTGCCACCATAATTTTTCTACTAGTAGGCCTAATTAATCAGCTACAGCTCTGCGCAGTTCAAAACGTGATTAATTCTTCTTATTAATCATCTTTATTATTGTCAGCCACTTTAAACATTTTAAATAGTTTGAACAATAACACAGCACTGTGCTTATAGGAAAAAAATAAAATAAAACATCAGCGTTTAAATTAAAATGTGATTTTTCAAAGTTAATTAAAAATGGCACTTTTCTTAAAGTAAAAAGAAAACTGCTGTATTTAAATGTAAAGTATTATCATATAGTAGCCTATTCATCAAAACCTGGAAATGTTCCTTGGACCTCATAAATATAGGCTATATGTCATCATATTAATGTTCAAACTCTTTTTGGTAAAATTTTAAATATAGAAAAAAGTCACATATACAAGCAACATATATCTTTAAAATCTGAACATTAACTTGTATTTCAAATATATGAATTGAATTTACATACTTAAATTAGAAATTAGATCTGCTCACTGCTGATTAGAGTAGGCTTTGTCTGTCCGAAAAGCAAGTGATTAAACCATACCTGTAGTGTTGGGCCGATAGACGATGCTATCTTCCATCGCTGATGGACAATAGAGAACACAATGCTGAGCCGGCATCGCGATCCTTCGCTCTACCCCTGTCACAAACTCACTCTCGAAAAATACACACTTAGGCCCCATTTACACTAATACGTCTTAGTGTTAAAATGGCATTTTAGAACAAAAATGATCCACACCAAGTTTTACATAGTATTTTTGAACAGCCCTCCGTCCGCTGAAAACACACATCACATGACCACACAAACACAGCCACACACTGTCATGCACACAATAAGTTGCGCACCCTTCTCACCCAAGGATCCCTCCTCCCTCTTCAGACACGTCGCGCGCACTCTGTCAAACAACCCCAATGTTGTCTTAATGATGCCATCGTCCATCACGATGTTTCACATTAGACATCGTACAATGCCAAATTGGTCGACATCGCCCAACCCTACATACCTGTCGACATTGGGATAAAAAAATACAGGATACGCCTCCAACAACCGTTACAAATATGGAGACTAAATTATCTTCAAATGATAGAATACATAACAAACATTTGAAAATTGAAAATAGAATAAATGAATATTTACTGATCACATCTGTGTTACTGTACGTATCAAAGGATTAAAAGCGTGTTCATTTCTTTATTTTAATTATTCAGCAGTTCCTCTGAGTACCACTAGAAGGAAGCCTGCTTACCACTTGTGGTACACGTACCACAGTTTGAGAATCACTGGTCTATTTCATATCTGATAAATTTTACATATAAATCTATAGTCAACTTCTTAACACACTGGAACAGCTTTTCTGCATAACCTAATCAGACATGAACATTAGCTGGTGATCTTCTGTTAATTACCTACTGTTTGTTCTTCCACTCATTTACTGATCTTTAACACACTGTGAATCTTATCCACCAACTCTCTGATTCTCCCCTTCTGTCTCTTCCACCTTTTTTTCTTGCCTTGCTGACAATGATCATCAGGACAACAGTTGGCAGCCATAACATGTTGGGAGCCCTCTGCCACCTCCCTGTCCGCTCATATACCCTTAGTAACCCCGTTTGGTGGGTAACCCTGCTGTTCTACCATGACTGTTAAAACCCCTGTTCATCCTCCACCTCCCACCGCTTCATCTGTGCTTGGCCAGTGTTCGCTGTGTTTGGCATGTGTGTCACTGCTTTAGCTCATCTTGGTTGCATTACTTGCCTCTAGCGGTACACAAGTTGTTGTACTGTAGTTGCTCAGACAAGCAAAGACCATTTATGAGCATCATAAATCTTGTAAAATGTATGGCCACCTTTTTCCAGCATATTCCACACACGTTATTTTTCTTGATATTGATTCGATTAATTTGGTTTGCATTATTTACTGAAAACGGGGCATCGGAATATTGAAACAAGTCTTTCTAAATAGGTTTTATTATACGTAAAGGGGGACAGTACAGGTTTCTTTTAAACAGTGCGAGACTAAACATGTTAATCCTTCTAAAAGTCTTATTAAAAGTAGGCATATCCCTTTCCACAAACTTCCATGATCGACCATTGTTTAAATGAATGATCAATTATTAAATAAAATTTTAAATGTAATAATGTGTCTGCTTCAGTGGCATATGACACTCAAAACACACACAGAGGAAAATGTTTTTTTACTGTTATTAAATAGCTAGTAAGAGTGTAAAAAGAATCAGTAGTTGATGATTTAAAGGTGCCATAGAGTGCATTGATTCAATATTTGAATTGTTCACTGATATCTGCATAGTAGGCGTGTGGCTTAAATGCAAAAAAAAAAATCTCCAGAAATAGTTTTATATTCTTATTTACAACCGCTGGAGATTAACACTAAAATTATAATTGTCTACTAAAGTGACTTACACGGTTATTTCCACACAGGAAAGAGTTCATATCAACCGCTACATAAACCTATATTATATTTTTATAACAGTTTATTGAATTTCTTTGACTCTGAGAGATATGACAGGGTGCATAAACGTGTATTAAACACTTATAATTAGCAGTTTAAATGTTTTGTTGCCTCACTGCAAATATATTCACAGTTGATTTTACAGTATACACATTTATTTAATTAAACTAACCATAGATGCATTCAAACACACCTTATTCCGCTTCATGGTGGTGCTAAATATGTTTATAATTTGTATATCCTGCATTTTGAATTATGAAAGGCTGTAAACAAATAAGATGGCTATGATGTTTGACGCTCGCAATATGTCATTCCCATGTACTGATCTTTTATTGTTCAGCTATGCCTAAGTATATCCATATTTTCATTCTGTGGCAACCTTTAATATAAACATTGGTAACACTTTATAATAACTACACACTATGAATCATTTATTAAGCATTCACATCTAGTGAATTCATTATTTGTTAAGAATTAACTCTACATTAATAAACGTTAGTAAGCAGTTTATAACTGCAGCTATGAATGCTGTATTCTTGACTTATAAGCACATTTATAATGTGCTTAATAATTGTACTTTCATACTTTGTGACGGGTTGATTTTTCATGACTAAATAAAGTATTGCATTATTTACAAACCATTTGTTCAAGAGTAGTTGGAGGTTTCTAAGATCATTTAGATTGAGTTAGTAAATGATTAATAAACTATCGAAATAAAGATTTATTCATCTTATTCAGACATATGGTAATGGTTAGTATGTATGTTAATAAATGCTTTATTAACTCAACTTCATGCAGTTTTGTGACCTAATCTAAAGTGAGGAATATTCATGATTTATAAATCCCTTATAAATGTCAATTAAAGGCTTAGTCTTAAATAAACAATAATCTTTGCAATCTTATCTAAAAAGTAAAATTACTGTAAAATTAAACATTAGGAATGTCAAAATATGCCATAAATTATATAAAAGAACTACAATATAAATAATAATTTAACAATAAAATAGGATGTGACGTTTAAACTGTAAAGTAATTTTATTTTTGATTAGGTTGCAAAGATTTATTTTTACTTGATACAGCTTCATTTATGTATCTTCAAATGAATAGAAATTATTTTTTTAATGTTTTTTTTCCTGTTTACAATTTAACTGAGTTTTTAATTGGGATTTATAAGGGATTTTATAAAGCATAAATGGTCCTTACTTTAGATTAGGTCACAAAACTGGATGAAGTTGAGTTAATAAAGCATTTAGTAATATACAAAGTAACTTTTCATTTATGCCTGAATAATAAGATGGATAAATGTTAATTAGAATAGTTTATTAATCATTTACTAACTCATTCTGAATTATCTTAAAAACACCAACTATGCTTAAATAACTGGTTTGTAAATAATGCAATACTTTGATTTAATAACGAAAATGAATTATTAACAAAGTATAAAAATACAATTATTAAGCACATTATAAATGTGGTTGTAAGTCAAGAATACAGCATTTGTAGCTGCAGTTATAAACTGCTTACTAACGTGTATTAATGTAGAGTTAATGCTTAACAAATAATGAATTCACTATTTGCAAATGCTTAATAAATGGTTTATAGTGTGTAGTTACTGAAACATTTAATAAATTGAATGACTAATAAACAGCATGTCAATAGCGACGTCTCAGATGTATACACGGGTCAGCAAAAAATCTGCTAAAAGTTTTTAGTACTGTTAGTGTGTTTTTTTATTTTCCCCCAGATGTGCACAGGCTATTGTGTAAAATCTGGAAAAAAGCCCAATGATTATGTCTCTACATCTTTAGTACTTTATGTGCTGCACATTGACATTCATGATATTAAATGTTGCTGAGGTAATTATACCAGTTGATTTAGATGATTGCTGCATCCGAAACCTCTAAAATGCTTCTTTTGAATGGTAGGAAGACATCTCTAAATCCAAAATCTGCTTCACTTCCTGTCTCTTGAGGTACCTTCTTCTAATCAAGTTTTGAAGCCAGCATCGATATATCCTTCACTTCCTTATAAATCCCACAACCCTCACAGTTAGCCTAAAATAAGGCTCCGCTTTAAAGTCAGTTTATGTGTAAATGTATGTTCGGACTAACGTTTTCTACTTTTCACAATGTTTTTATCACTAAAGCCTTCTCTATTTGGTTGTATGTGATTAAAAGTTTATGCTGTCTCAGAATCTGTCTGAAATCCATTTTACGATGTGTCTTCCTGCAGAAACGCTGCGCAGCGAGGCAACAAGTCAGCAGCCTAAGCTTTTAGACGCAGCCAAAATGATGTATCCATTTCAGAAATTGAATGATCTGATTGTTCCGTCCTCCATGGATGCAGCACAATACACCCCCATACACTTTTCGGTTTCTTCAAGCAGAGTAGCAAGAGAGTTTTTAATGAACTCATGCATGCTCGCTTCATTTTATTCCCTCACATCTGCTGTAAATGTTTTCCATCAAAACGCTTACACTAAACTCATCAAAACTATACAAATAATAATGTTGAAGCTTAAAGGAGTAGTTCACTTCAAGAATTGAAATGCTGTCATTAAGTTTTTTACTTGATCCAAATACTTGTTTGTTTCTTCGGTTGAACACAAAAAAAGATATTTAGAAAAATGTTGACATACAGTTGATGGTCACCACTGACTTCTATAGTAGGGAAAAATATGAGCATCAGTGACCAATCATTCTGAAACTGAACAACTCCTTTAATGCATTTTTGATAGGATGTTTTGATTTAAAAAGATTATTGACAAATAATCAGTCAGTCCTTTGCATCTCTATAAAAAGCTATACTGGTGCACTTCTCTTAAAAGGTTGTTCACTTGTCATTTTAAGACTTTTTCTCACCCTCACCCAGCAGGCTCTCGCAGCCGAAGCCGATCCAACATGGCCCAGGAAGGAGAGACTGAAGCCAGTTCTCAAGAGTCTCTGCAAGAGGTCCCCGAGGAAGTGCTGGTCATCTCTCTAGGAACATCACCACAGACCATTCCCGGGATGATGTCAGAAAACGAGGTCAGAAGCTTGAGGATTTATGTCATTTGTTTTGATATTGTGATTTTTAGGGGAATTAATAAGAAATGAAGTGTGCAGATGCAAAAGCTGTCTAAAAGTCATTCTTCTGAAATGAGATTTTAGGATCCTGTGTTTAATATTAGTTATTTTTCCTTTATGGTGATGAAAAGGTTATTTGCATTGCCTTTACTGTGAAATAACTCAACATAAACAAAGGAGGCTGAGAAAAATACTCATTTTAGATGAACATTTTGAGATGACATTTAGAGGCTTTTGTATTTGAACTGTTCAAATGATTATATTGATAGTGCTCATATGCATCTGCAATGTCTCTGACTGTAGGTTCTGACTTTGCATCTTGGAGATGGAGGACAAGGTGACGCCCCTGTCGACGACACCAAATTACATGGCAAGCCTGACAAAACACTGCGCTTCTCACTTTGCAGTGACAACCTGGAGGGCATTTCTGAGGGTGTGTTTTCATCAGACAACCAGTAGATGGCTCACTTGTACATAATCTGTTTCATGTCCACCTGGCATTTTTCCTTTCTTTTCTCATTCTTTTTTTAAGGTAAAGAGAGAGACAAATACATTTTATATTTAGTTTGATAGTTCAGATTTTATTTTATAATTTCATTTTATTTTTATATATATTTTTAAGATAAATCATTTTGTGTTTTTTTAATTTGATCTTTTTTATTATTTCATTTGCATAAATCGGTTTACTATTCTAGTATTCTAGTTTGTTCTATTCTATTCAGTTGTATTCTATTCTATTTTAGAATAGAAGTTTAATTAGTTTAATTTTAATAGCCTGGTTAGTTTAGTAATATATTTATAAATATGGATTTTTTTTATGGTATGTCCGTAGGGCCGTCTAACCGCTCAAATTCAGTTTCTTCTTTGGATTTGGAAGTGGAGTCCGTGTCAGAAGGAGGACCAGGACCGTCTGGTAGTAACGGTGCAGAAGCCTTACAGCTACTGGAGCACGAACAAGGTGAGTTTGTGTCTTCGAGTATTTCACCAAACATCTTAAGAGAAAAACTTTACAATTAAACTGGTGTTGCTTGACACTCACATACTCTGTGTTGTCTGTTATGTAGCCACTACACAGGATAATTTGGACGATAAACTGCGCAAGTTTGAGATTCGGGACATGATGGGCCTGACGGATGACCGAGACATTTCTGAGACGGTCAGTGAGACTTGGAGCACTGATGTCTTGGGGAGTGACTTTGACCCCAACATGGATGAGGACCGACTGCAGGAGATAGGTACATGTGTACTTCTGCAGACTTCTGCAATGTCTGATTGCACAATATGGTTAAGAACAGTTCTCAACTCAAAGAGATGTACTGCATGCTTTAATGAGTTTTAATTACTTTCAATGCATACCTGAATACACAACATAACTCAAAACAGCTTCTGAAGTTTGTAGTCAGAATGATTTACAATAATTACTCATCAACAGTTACATTTTCTTGCAGTTTCTGTCATAAAACCATAAACATTTCAAAAGAAAGGATAAAACAACATGTGTGTGTGTGTGTGTGTGTGTGTGTGTGTGTGTGTGTGTGTGTGTGTGTGTGTGTGTGTGTGTGTGTGTGTGTACACATACATACATACATACATATATATATATATATATATATATATATACACACACATACACACACACAAACAATGTTTCAATTTTTTAAAAATAAAATGATGTAGAAAAATAAGGGAATAAAATAAGGCAAAAGAAATGTTTTGCTAATAAATATTGCTTTAAAAGAAATAATAATTGTTATTAAAATATTAATAGTAGTAGCAAAGAATAAATCTAGTTGTACCAAATCTGCCAGTTATTAATGAAATAGCATGAGTGTCATGGCTGGGAATTTGTCATCGGCAGGTGTGGCAAAATATTAGTTTTTGGCCTAATTTGCTGTGAGATGCAGTTCAGTTTAGCAAGCTGACCAACAAACCCATCGCTGCCTCCCTGTGGTCTGCGTAGAACTTGCACTTCTCAATGAAGTAGCTGAATTGTGATCTTTTACACTCTTTGTGTGAGTCCTACCTAATAGTGCTTTAGTAATTACTCCTGCAGTTTTCCTGTTTAAGACATTCCCTACTAATCATGGAGCGTTTTAGACATTTTTAAAATCACAATTGGGTAGCACTTTATTTGTGTCACTGAAAAAATGGATGCAACTTACCCTAAACTAAAGCGTGTTCTTCAACCTAACTCGAATTACTCATTACTTACTGTAGGACATGCTGTGAATTAATATTACTCAGTTCCTGAATTACATTTTAACAAGGACATAATGAAATGTTTTAAAGTTCTTATAGATTGTAATAGCAGCTAATTTACATGATTGAGTAAATTAAACATGCAGTAAGATATATTTTAGATGCTCTTTAAAGACCTGATTTACAAAGTGAAAAAATACTTGCTAAATATTTTGTTTCAATTGTTGCATGATTATTTTATCTTACTTATGTTGTTTATTATTTCTTTATTATTACAATAATCATATAATATCTCCTCTACAAAATATGGATAATTTCTCTTTTATATTTAATGCTGGTTATTTTAACATTATTGTAATTATTAAATTGGATGAGTTGATTACCTTTGACAATAATAACTGATTACTAATCTCATTTTGTTAATCTTTATTTTGTTAATCAAATAATTAATTATTTCTAATTAATTCTTTTTTTTCTTTTTCTTAGTTCCTGTGTGAGGCCCCTTGAAAAGCTCCTCATGAACAAATATAGTAATATAGTAAAATTATAATTAAATAAGCTGTTGTTGTGGTTGTTATAAAATGCAACCATTTTAATAATTTGGTTTATACATAATTTTAATAATTTTTTTTTATACAGCTACAGTAAATGGGGTTTTATCACTAGTTGCCTTGTTTTTATTCTGTAATACAAGATCTGTTTGTCTGTCTCTCTCTCTCTCTCTGCCTGTCTATAATTATAATCTATAATATCTATAATATGATATTATATTTTAGCTGTATTTAACCTTTATTAGATAGGACAGTGTAGAGAGAGGGAGATAGGAATTTGTGTGGAGCAAAGAGAGGAGAAAGATCAGCAAAGGACTTTGTGTTGGGAATAGAACTTGGGTTGCATTTCAGTGCTATAGGTCAACGCACTAACCATTAGACCAGGGATTTTCAACCGGTGGGCTGCGGCCCACTAGTGGGCCTCAGCGATTTTGCAGGTGGGCTTAAAATTAACTTAAATATTATGCTATAATTATTTGATTTCATTATTAAATATGTCATTAAAATGATAGTAGTATGGCATTTTCTGTTTTCTTCTATTGTACAGGCTAAACTCGGAATTTGACATAATCAGCCTCACTGTAAATTTTAGACATACAGTAAGTGGGTCTTAAACTTCCAAACGCTGCATGTTAACTTGTTTAAATCAAATCGAGCATGTCTGCGACTCGTACTGTATTAGAGTCGCACAAGTCCGTTGATATACAACCTGTGCGTGCTCTCTTTGTGTAAACAATTTAAATTATCCGCAAAGTTTAGCGCTTTATAACTGACGCGCTTTCTTACAGGAGGATCTAGAGACTCGGGGGTGTTTCAGTAGTGAACAGCTGTTTACTGTTCCTTTCAGCGAACTCCAATAATGTCCAGCTACAAACCAAACCGCATTCAGATCGATGCATTTCAAATGATTTAGAGGGTTTACTTTATTTTACATTTGGGGTTAGGGTTACTGTAGGTTGTTTATTTTTAAAGATATGAATAGTACATCAATAGATGATTAGAAGTCAGTCTAATTAAAAGCAGCAGCAGCAGTTTTTTTTTCTTCTGTCAGGTTCCTTTTCTGAAGAATAGGCCCAAATACTCTGCAGTTGTAAAGAATAACTGAAGTAAAGAATTCAGGAGCTTTGAACATGTCTGCATTTTATATATATATATATATATATATATATATATATATATATATATATATATATATATATATATATATATATATATATATAAATATATACACACACACACACACACACACACACACACACACACACACACACACACACACACACACACATATACACACACACACACACACACACATATATATACGTGTGTGTGTGTATATATATGTGTGTGTGTGTACACATACATACATACATACATACATATATATATATATATATATATATATATATATATATATATATATATATATAATATATATACATACATACATACATACATACATATATATACACACACACATATACACACACACAAACAATGTTTCAATTTTTTAAAAATAAAATTATGCAGAAAAATAAGGGAATAAAATAAGGCAAAAGAAATGTTTTGCTAATAAATATTGCTTTAAAATAAGCATTTTCTCTAGACAATCAATTTGGGCCTTCAAAAAAATTTGAATTGGGCCTCAAAGGGAAAAAGGTTGAGAACACCTGCACTAGACTATTGATGCTGATATATAGGAACTGTTTTAATATGAACAATCCAAAGCTCTACAATTATGGTTATTCACTTACTTGAGAGTTTGTGAAACTGCATGCCTTTATTCGACCACTTATTTCCGTCAATCTCTCTCTTTTCCCTCCATCCCCTTGTCTACACTATTCTCTCTCTCTCTCTCTCTCTCTCATGCTCTCCTCTCTCTCTCTGACATTCACACAGTCCCTGCAGTCTTATTGACCTTGCTTCCTTCTCATTTGCATCCTCCATTTTTCATTCCTCGGAATATGGCATTGGGGGACTTTTCCATCATTAAGTGAATTTACAGCGATTTCCTTATGTGTTTTCTCCGAGGGATTGGGTTATGAGATACACATTAAATATCCATTAATACCTCATTATCCCACTGATAAGATTACCATGATAATGAGGCAGAAATTCTAATTGTTTCACTACTGCGGGTGCCACTCATTTAATCATGCACCTGAAAGACGGGCGGCCCCGAGCCCCTGCCTCACTCACTGTAAACAGGGCCAGCGGGGGAAAGCTTTCCTGCAGGCCCGCCGAAACCTGCCCTCATGCACAGTCCTGTGACCTGCCGAGAGCTTCATATGGAGTGCTCATGATCTCCGCTTCTGCCCGAGCATCAAGACGCCCCCGCCATGACATGTTGGCTGTTCACCCTCCCCTTCCCGGCTCTCCATCTCCATTCTTCTGCCTTGTTAGGCGCTAGCTCCTGTTGGGAATGTTGCAGAGAGAGAATAATGAGGTTATGAGTGATGCTCAGCTCCATCCACACCTCAAAGTCACAACCCTGATGATTGCATATGTGTGTGTGTGTGTGTGTGTGTAGAGGGTGGAGGCTGCCATTAACCTTTGTCCATCCCTGTCAAAGTCCGTCTACCTGCTGCTTTTGATCAGAGAGATACCTTATGACTAGGCCCACATGAAATCTGTACGCACATGAATACACAATTTTTTTAGCCCATCATTGAATTTGTTTATTTACTTACACAGGGTTACACAATTTGATACATTGCTTGTTTATCTATATTATCACATAGGGCCTTACTATCTTTATCTTCAACTCCCAGTAGTTGCTGTTCTTCTATTGGCTGACAAGAGTCAAGACGAGAGGAAAATTAAAACAGCCAATCAGTCAAAATAACTTCTCTATCACTTTCAGTCATTTATAATGTTTTAAAGACTAAATGTTTGCATGTTGACTTTTTTTGTTGCTGAAGATTTGTCGGCTACACTTTCATGATGCGAATCTTCCGTTCCACTACATCCCAAAGGTGCTCTATTGGATTGAGATCTGGTGACTGTGGAGGCCATTTGAGTACATTGTCATGTTCAAGAAACCAGTCTGTTATCCTGTTGCAATTAGCCATCAGAAGATGGGCACACTGTGGTCATAAAGAGATGGACATGGTCAACAACAATACTTCGGTATGTTGTGGCATTAATGCTCGAGAGGTACTAATGGACCCAAAGTGTCCCAAGAAAATATTCCCCACACCATTACACCACTACCACAAGCCTGAAACATGAATACAAGGCAGGATGGATGCACACTTTCATGTTGCTGATTTCAAATTCTGACCCTATCATCCGAATGTCGCGGCAGAAATTGAGACTCATCACACCAGGCAACATTTTTCCAATCTTCTATTGTCCAATTTTGGTGGGCCTGTGGGAATTGTAGCCTCTGTTTCCTGTTCTTAGCTGACAGGAGTGGCACCCGGTGTAGTCTTCTGCTGCTGTGCCCATCTGCCTCAAGGTTGGACGTGTTGTGTGTTCAAAGATGATCTTCTGCTGCATACCTCGGTTGTAACGGGTGGTTATTTACCTACGGGTGGTTATTTACTTTGGTTACTGTTGCCATTCTATCAGCTTGAACCAGTCTGGCCATTCTCCTCTGACTTTTGGCATCAACAAGGGATTTGTGCCCACAGAACTGCCAATCACTGCTGATCTACTGAATCTCAGTAGATCAGCAATTTCTAAATACTCAGACCAGCTCGTCTGGCACCAACAATCATGCAACGTTCAAAGACTCGTAAATGACCTTTGTTCCCCATTCTTATGCTTAGTTTGAACTACAGCAGATCATCTTGACCATGCCTACATGCCTAAATGCATTGAGTTGCTGCAATACAATTGGCTGATTAAAAATTTGCATTATCGAACAGTTAGACAGCTGTATCTAATAAAGTGGCTGGTGCATGTAAATTATACAGTACAGAGACTTGCTTTTTTCCCCCCAAAAAGTAGATCTTATTGTATTTGCATTGTAAACCATAAATAAAAGTTATTTTAATTTAATGTTTTATGTTTTTTTATTTACTATTCTCCAAAATCTTTCTGCATAAATCCTTTTCGGTTCAGAATTTAATAGCAAAAAAAATGTCGGCAGATTCTGTCTGGCCCTGCTTATGACTGTGTTCTCCATTCTCCATAGGGGCTGCAGCGGAGAATGCTCTGGGCAGCATGCTGTGTTTGCCTGTGCTTTTGGATCCATATGGTTCAACCATCTCAGAGACCACGAGCGAGGCTTGGAGTGTGGAGGTTCTGCCGAGTGACTCAGGTGAGGGATAAAAGCATGTGTATTCAGCACATCTTCTGGTGAGCTCTGTTAGTCTTAGAGAGATTTATTTAAAGGTGCAGCTCTGCTTATTGGTGCTGGCCAGTCAGCTTGCATAAAATATACACATTGTGATGTATTAGTTAGCAGCTACTACTGGAAACCCAGGTCCATAGATGGCAGGGATTAACCTTTAGTTTTGCATGTTAGAGACGAAGATGTTGAAATGTCAAAGCATTATATTTGGATCTGATATGTTGTTATAGCATGTAACCTTGTTGTTATTTGGTTAAAACACATGCAAGAACAGAAAAAGTAGTTGTATTTGTAAAATATAATTACAAGATTTGTAATTGTGTATATTTCTGGCAGCCATTTTATACATTACATCCTAAAATTGTTAATAATATGAATAATAATATTAATAATAATAGTAGGCTTGGGCGGTATCCAAATTTTGATACCGTCAAACCTCCTCCCTATTTTACCCCGGTATCCGGTATTACTGTGCATAATAAAAAAAATTACGATGTAAAGCTCAGACAGTGATGTCCCGTGATGACAATCACGCATACGCATTTGTAGGCATTAAATAAATAATATTTATTATTTAATACTTGTCTCCTATAGGTGCATTGTTTTTTATGACGGTTTAACATTATTGAAACTGAAACTGTTGCTATTTTTAGATCATATGTTTAGACCATATTACCGTATTATCGCTATAGCCTAAATAATAGTAATAATAATAAAAATAAAACATTTCTCACAATCCATGGTTGTGAAACAAGTGTGGACAAAAAAAATCTTAATGTTAATGCAAATATTTTTTACATTGCGTTGTTTATTTTTTTCTGGTTTTGAAAGCTTTTTGTTTTATTTAGTTTTTTAATTTAATTTAATTTAATTTAATTTAATTTTTGTTTTATATGGACATTTATATTATTTTTGAACTCTGCTTTTTATCCATTATTTTGTTCTGTGTTGTTTACAGGCTACTTTATTTTAATTTAGTTTGATAGTATTTTAATTGATATTAATTGTGCGTTTTGAAGAAAGCAGCGTTTATTTATTTTTTTGTTTGTTTGTTTCATATCAATAATTCAATTATGTACGTGACATTGGGCTCCACTCCAGAGATCAGATAGTAGTGACAGACATGATAAGCCTGTAATAAGGACTGGCTGTTAAATGTAAAACAAGACTGTGCCAGTAGCAGGCAGACGGCAGACTGTGTGTGGTCTTGTCTTCCTGCCCGTTTTGCATCACAAGCAATAGAAAGACTGAATGAGTGATTGTTTTTTGCTTTGCTTGGGTTGATTTCAGTTCTAGGTGCTGGGAAAAGTAGACTCCAAAGACCAATTGAGACCTGCATGATTACAAATGAGCACGCAAATGAGAGCCCTCAATGGGGATGCCCTGCTGCGTGTCTTTATGCGTGTGTGGATGCTGTGCACTGTTTTCTACAGCTAATGAATGTGTGTTGCAGAAGCTGCAGACCTGAAGCAGGAGGAACGTTTGCAGGAGCTGGAGAGCTGCTCCGGTGTGGGAAGCACTTCAGACGACACAGAGGTCCGAGAGGTCAGCTCAAGACCAAGTACTCCAGGACTCAGCGTTGTTTCAGGTAAACGTGCGCAGAAGTGACAGAATTCCATGACATGCTTAAGGTTACTGCACACTATATCTACATTTGAAAAAGCACTTTAAGAGGTGTTATCACATTTCAGAGCCACCTCACAAGCGAAAAGCTAAATACAGAATGCCATCATTTTAGCTACAGATAACTACAGTGCATACAGCCAAATACAGTGCATAAAAAAGTACAGAATGTTGCGGACGGTTGTGTTCGCCATTGGTGTGTTTGTTTAAATTGTGCGGTCCAATCAGAGACCGTCACAACCTATGCTGGATTCAGTGACTGGCACACATCTCCCCTGTTGCTATTTGAGGTGTGTGTGCATGCGTGTGTGCATGGCCATACATTTGATATACTGCCCATAGACATTATAATAGAAAGCATGGTCCGCTTTCGGTCCGTTGGTTCGATACGTCAATGCGGTTGCCATCTATTATAATGTCTATACAGCAGGTACTGCCATGTACTGCCTGTTCAGGATTTATTCATGTATGTAATGCAAATGTATGAAGCATCACAAGCAATGTATGAAAATTCCACTTATTTCCTGAAATAAACTGCATTTCAGGATAATCATAGCGCAGATCTTTGATCTTTCCTCTCTATGCAGTATTGGATGAACACATATATAACCTATTCCTCTTTTCTTTTCTATTTTGGAGATGAGAGAAGAGCAAAGTATCTCTGCTTGAACTGACTCTAAAATGTTTTGCGGTTTTTTTTTTTCTTAATGGATTAATTAGTACACATCGGACTCAGTGTGCAAGGTTTTTGAATGTGATGAATTTTTTTACATATGAATACGCAAAAAATGCATTTGAAAATTTCGGACTTCAGTGTGCAAAGACTTTGACTGTGAAGTTCTTTTTAGTTTTTTGAAAGAGAGAATTGTGAATTTAGGCATATGTTCACTCAAAAAATAGTTTTTATGCTTTGATCGAACTACATATATAAAATGAGCTAAAACAACACAATTCTTTAGTTTTTTGGGGAGGAAATCTTAATTGTTTTATCTTCAATCCACTTAAATTTGTAAACAAAATATTCAGTTAACTTAATCTAATTGTATTGGGACAACCTGACTGAATTGTGAGGAACCCAGCATTTTTTTTCAGTGTTCTATGTCATATCCTGTTATATTTTTTTGTCGCGATAATTGCGAAAGTGTTTATGATGATATACGGTGTTATTTCAATAATGACGTAAACTGTAAAAATAATTTGGCAGGTATAATAGCTAAAGTAGGTTTGTATTATTTTAATTTACATAAATCTTAAAAGTTGACAAATTTTTCTGACAAACTGAATTGCATAAGGATTAAAGTGTAATAAGTAACACTTTTTCAAAACGTTTAGTAAACATTAGCTAATGCATTGGTTAACCTCAGCAGTGAGGAACTTTGATATATGTTAGAAATGCTAATGTAAAAAAAAATAATACAACTGAACTTCATTCAGTTATTAGCTCCATTAATCAAACCCATTAAGATATTTAATTTGATTGAAAACATTATCTAAGAAGTAAAAGCCACCTAATATAAGTAGATGCTGCACAAGTAGTTTTTATGGTTTATTGTTTAATGATAATGTATTGAGGCTTGCGGTAAAGTGTTAAAAATAGAAGAATCAGAACATTTTCGATGAATCACTTGAGCATGTTGTGGATTAACTAGTAAAATGTTTTTTTGAAAAAAAAGTCCCTATTAAATCTTCAGTAAATTGGTGGTGTGAGGAACACAATCATAAATAAAATAAAACCTTTTTAAAGTTTATATAAGAAATATTTCATTAAAACATTTCGATACGTTTTCCATTCTGCACGCTTGTGTTTAACTGAAGGGCAATACGTTTTTACAGCTCAGTTCCTAAAGAATAAAATCTTTAAGAAGAAAACCTTTCAGTCTTACAGCCGGGATACATTAAGGTGTCTTTTTAGGCTAGTTTGTTTGCTTTGTTACATGTGTTGCCTTTCATTGTGCTCATGTCATATTGTTAGTTTGATTCAACATGTAGAGTTGATATTAGCAGTCGATGAGAGCACTCTGATTGGCTGTTCAGCTATAAATCGGTGCACAAAAACTGATGAATCAAAGCTAAAAATGCAAGGAACACAAAGAAGCTGGCTATCAATATGGATTATTAGACTGCTTAAATTCTGCTTTCTCTGCAGTTTGTATGTGTGCAGCAATAGTTCTGTTTTCCCTTTGTGGAATGACAGTACAGATACTGCCACCTGCAGGTGTAAACATACAAACTCACCCAGTCACAGAACAAGTTTTTGTTTCAGTTGTTCGTTGTCTGTCACAGCTTTTTAGTTCAGATGCAGGCAACACGAGGTGACAGCACGGTCAGTTAAAAAAAAAAACTGATAGTTTTTTGAGGTTTGATTTGGATGTTGGCTGATAAGCCTGCCTGTCCAATAAGATATATAGTAATATTGAATACCTTCACGTAAACTTGGGAGCATGTGTAAACCTTTTCAACCAAAATCAGTCCACTGGATTCAATAGACAAGCTAGGTAAAGTTTTATTACAAGCTGTTCACCAATTTGTAATAAAAAGATAGGAACATTATTCCAGATCGCAACAGTCAACGTGGAACCACAGATCTGAGCAACTCTTAGAAAGCAAGTCACATTTGAATGTTATTCTATCTCACTGACTTCTTCATAAAGTGACTCCTCTGCCTGAAATTGTTATGAAGATGAATAGGTAGCACATCAACCTCCCGACAGACTTCTTTTGGACAGTTTTCCCTGATGACTTCGGCAGATGGATCACCTTTCCCTTCTTCCTTCGTTCAGTCTTGCCATTTCCATCTCTCCTTCACCTACTTCGACCTCCCTTGGGATTCTCCTTCCTTCTTTATGTGCTCATGGGAGCAATGGCGTGGCTTCCCTCATTCCTAGAGGAGCTTGAAATGAGATGTTCAACATGCCTCTTCAACATGGCCACCACTCCATCACCTGCACACCAGATTTTTGCTTACTATCTGAACTGTATTTCTCAAAGATGTATGCAGAGTCAAACTCAGGACTGATTTTGCTTTTGCAGCAGAACTGCTTTTTTTGTGTGGTGTTTGCTCACAGAGAGTTTGTCATAAGAAAAGTTTCTCCTATGACAAACCAAACTAATTTATAGTTCTGAAGGTAAAATGATTTCATCTGTGATTTATAGTTGGAGGTTTTGCTGATTTGTTGCATATTGTTTGTGCAGGCATCAGTGCCACGTCGGAGGACATCCCTAATAAGATTGAAGACCTACGCTCGGAATGCAGCTCCGATTTTGGAGGCAAAGACTCCGTGACCAGTCCAGATGGAGAGGACTCTGCTCATGGTACAAACGCACACACTCTAATGACTGATGGAGCACACAAATATTGTGCTTTGTATTTAAAGATGCACCAAGGAAAGCTTTACTCTTCACTTAAACTTTAGTGAAATCAATTGTTATTAAGCTATTTTGGCTGTCAAATGATATTAGTTGATTTTAGTTTTATCCAAAACAATCTGTCATATTCCTATTTACATATAAGGTAAAATCGTGGAGCCAATATTTTTTTTTTATTTGTTTACAAGGTTTCATTAAATGAATCTAATTGTGACATTATAAATGTTTAAAATGTTGCAAAATATTAATATTTAAAACAAAGGGCTCTTTCGATCATTTTGTGTCAATTTTTAGCAAAATTTATTTAAGGGTTTCCATCAGATTTAACTTTGCTGTTAGAGGACGGAGTATATAATATATAAAAGTATATTAAAATAGAACAGTTTTTTATGTAATAATCAGGGATGTGATTCAGGGATACGTATTTCCGTATTTTCCAAGCTCAATTAGGGCGACCCCTGTAATTTGCGTAAATCCAAAAGTTTTTTTTGAGGAGGTCTCCGTGACGTTCATCGTCATCAGGGCAGAAAACCTGATTGATGTTTTGCAACTAAATTGTTTATCATTGTGCACAAAAAGAGCATTAACTGCTTCATTCTGGACTGTATTCAGGTATAATGATATTGTGTATCGAATAATTTGTTGCTGACAATATGCAATTATGAAATCACTTTGAATGCATGCGCGACTGTGCACTTCTTCCGCGCTCACATTTGCATGTCACGACCACGTGCACTCTATGTACATTAGAAATAAAGCCAGGACGCACTTTTGTTGTTATCCTCTGCAAGTCATCTGTCCAGATGTCTTCATGCTACAGCTTAGCACCTGAAATTTACCTTACATTGTCATGAAATTGTGTAGATGATAATACCAATTTATAAAAATACATTTAATAATTGGTTAAACCTATAAAAAAGCAGGGACTAGGCCGAAGGGAAAGTGATAAACTCGCAATACATGATATATTTTTCAGGATGGAATGTTAAAGCATATTAGGCTGCTTAATTCAACTGGACTTAATATTTTTACAGTTGAAATTGTTCACTGACTAGCAGTTTATTTATCACGTGGAATAAAGAGCCTCATCTTCTTTTTCTTTTTTTTTGTCTTCAGCTGATCACATGCCTGAATATTGTTTCACAATATTACTATTTTTATTTAAAATTGTGTAAAAACAAAACACATAAATCTTACTGACACCAGACTCGTGAATCATAGCAATTACTTTTTGCAACCATTTAACAATCATATACAGTAGTCATCATTTAAAGTAGATCAAAAAAGTTTCTCAAAATAGACGAGAATGGGTGTTGTTGATTAGTTTAGGACAACTTTGACTAAAGTTCTCAATTTTTCATATTGCACATCATAATTTTTTATTCAAATCATTAACAAATTTACAAGTCAGTGTAGAATTGAATGTGTCTTTCAGTGACTATAGCATTTAATGCAATTATTATTACCTTTAATATAATATTTCTAAATGTTTTTAAGTGAAAATAGGTGTCAAAAAGCATAATGCTGAAATGTCAGTTGTTTAAACACAATATCTTGTGAAACAAATGTAATAACTTGGTGCATCTTAAAGATAAAATTGTAAATTCTAATATATTCCAATGCATCTCTAAAGGTGAAAATCAAACATTTGATCTCATTTTTTTCATTATTAAATGTCATCCTGCACCGCTGTTGATCTTGTTTCTTGGTTTGTGTAATGTGGGACTAACAATCCTTTATCACTCATTTATTCATCCCTTTATCCATCCCTTCATTCTTCCACCTCTCTAGGAGCTCACAGTCTCTCCTGTGCACCTTCTCAAACAGATTCACTGCTGGCCATGTTCGATCCCCTCTCCTCTGGAGAAGGTAATGTCACTTCCCAGCATGCACTGCTGTAGAATGCAGTATTTACACATGTAAGAGCTACAAAGGAGTGCCATAAATGTGCCTAATGACAAGAATCCTCTAATCAGCATGTGCACTGTAAAATAACACAAGCGCCTGCCAGACTTCTGTCCTGTTATGGCTCATTCTGGTAAAATAAAAGGTTTATTATATCGGCATTTAAAAGCTACAATCAATTTGTTTCTGCTCTAGCTTGCTCATCTACAATGGAAAGTTGCGTAAATGTGTTGGTGGGACATTGTGAGAATCTATGTGTGTGGCGCAAGGTGAGGGGATGACAGGTTGCTAGACCTCACTGCAGGCGTTTTGGCTCAGAGGCCCGTCCCCACTGAGCTGGTGGCACAGGGCTGGCATCGGAAGGCACGCGGCAGAGATGCTGTACCCTTGGAACAGGTGGCCCACTTTCACCTGAGGTCTGTCCGACTCTGACAGCTCTCTCAAGCTCTCTCATGCACACACTCCTGCTGACGCTGTGCACTGAGGCTTTTTTATGAATGCCAGTCCAACAGAAGTCATGTCACGACCCTTGCATCTAGTTTTGTTTGTCAAGAACTGGAGGTTATGTGGCAAATACAGAAATTCCAAAAACTGAGTTATAGGAGTATATTAGAGCTGCTCGATATTGGAAAAATCTGACATTGCGAAGTAGTGTAGTGTCGTTTTTCTGCAATATGTATTGCGATATGAATATAATTTCACCAAATTTATTGATTTAGCTCTGTTTGGAAAGATTTTATTAATTTAGATCAAGGGATGATCATGTCTTTTTTTCTATGCAGTTTGTTTGCAAAAAAAAAAAAAAAAATTACAAGTGTATAAAAATACAACAGAGCAGTTAAGGAAACAGTGCGTTATGGCTTTGTGGAGATTCTAACAGTATTCAGGTACAGAAATTGAACAATCAAACAAAAAAACATGGTCATCGTTTTATATATATATATATATATATATATATATATATATATATATATATATATATATATATATATATATAGTATCATTTGTTTAAAAATAATAACATTTAATAATATCTTCATCTTTTAATCTTCAATAAGCAATCTAATCCTGCGATCTGACTATTGCGGATTCACAAGTTGCGATATCGATGCTCGAACGATACAGTTGAAATCAGCATTATTAAAATTTGGAACTTTGAATTATTATTATTTTTTTTATATTTCTCAAATGATGTTTAACAGAGCAAGTAAATTTTCACAGTATATCTGATAATACTTTTTCTTCTAGAAAATGTCCTATTTGTATTTTTTTTGGCTAGCATAAAAGCAGTTTTTAATTTTTAAAAACATTTTAAGGTCAAAACTATTAGCCCCTTTAAGCTATATTTTTTCCCGATAGTCTACAGAACAAACCATCTTTATACAATAACTTGCCTAATTACCCTAACCTGCCTAGTTAACCTAAGTAACCTAGTTAAGCCTTTAAATGTCACTTTAAGCTGTATAGAAGTGTCTTGAAAAATATCTAATATAAAATTTTTGTACTGTCATCATGGCAAAGATTAAATAAATCAGTTATTAGAGATGAGTTATTGAAACTGTATTATGTAGACATGTTGAAAAAATCTTCTCTGTTAAACAGAAATTGGGGACAAAAATCAACAGGGGGCTAATAATTATGATTTCAACTGTATATTGTGCAGTTCTTTTTTCAAAAGGTAAATAATTTAGCTGTTGACTTTTTTTAAAAATGAAATTTGCCAGTTTATTTACTTTTGTTTAGTAGAACATGACTATCATATGATAATGATGTGGATGGATGCATAATACCCCGCTGTCCATCTAATCAAATCGTATTGTGTTGCTGTGAATATCAAAACACAAGAGATTGTTTTAATGTGAAGACTGCACATTCTGCCTGTCTTTGTTGAGGGGTGATGCTGTTTGGTTTATTACATGCATACTGAAGCTTGATGCTTGTGGTGTTGTCAGCTTTTGCTATCTTACTTCAAGGACATAAAAAAAAAAAAAAAAATTATGGGCACAAACTAATTAACAAAAGCAATATGCGAGTCACTTTTCTGGCATTTTATTGTTTTTAAAGCTGTCGTCATGTCATGTACAATTGGAAACTCACAGCTTCTCCAGGAAAATTTGTCAAAATAAAATCTGGTTTAATTTTAGCTTTTTGTTTTATTTGAAAAAAAAGTATTTTATAGGGGGATTGTTTTACATTTGAAACAAAATTTTTTTAGTCCAGAAAAATTGAATTCTCAAAATATAAACAAAATGTATTTGCAAGAACTTCATAGGGCCTTACATAATCTGCTCATCTGTAAATAGTGTGCATAGTCAATATGCTGAATATTAAATTTTTTAGACTAATATTAAAAGACATTGATTGCTGTAGATGGATCACAAGGGCCCAAATCTTGCAGTTGGTACACACATCTTTGTTTTCTTTCTTAATAAATAATATTCAGTGCTTGAAACAAGCTTGACAGGCCTCTACTGTATTTTTATGGATGTTTTGCCCTCAAGGTCTCTGCACCACTCCATGACTGAAAGCTATGAACTGTTTCTTGTTTGAGAAACCCTGTCATTTAGATACGTCACAATAGAGGAACATAGACTGTATTGCCACTTTAGTTTCTTGTTGACTTTAAATAAAAAAAACCTCTGAGTTTGTCTCAAATGTCTCTGCAGGTTCGTGCACTGGCACCATAGTGCGACCCAAGGTACACTATCCTCGTCCTCCTCACCCTCCGCCTGACCCACCCATTCCAGAGGCCAGCATAACCAGCCACATGGAACCCCGTCCGCCCCTCTTTCCTCCCCACCTGGCACAGGGTGACCTGGAGCACCCCAAGCAGAGGCACTCTTACCCTGAGAGGCTGGTGAGGAGCCGCAGCACAGATGTGGTGTCCGCTGGACGCAGACCTAACAGTGACCCCGGACTGAACCGCAGAACCATGATGGAGGAGAGAGACCCGGCTGGAGCTTACTCTACTGGGCCCACCTCCTCTCCCAGCAAGGATTCCCTCAAAGGAGAGGTAAACATAGACTTTGAAGGGTAGTACAAGTGCAGCAATATGTCCTTGAGGCTTTCTTATTATTATGATTTTGAAATATTTTTTTTAATGCCGAGTTAACATCTTAAAGTCAATAATCAAAACGGCAGTGTTGTGAAATGGTAATATATTTATTTGTGTTAGCAAAATATTATTTTCTTTTTTCTGTAAATCCAGTTTTTAGTATCACTTGCTCTTCCAGAAAATCACTCAATATGCAGAGTTTCTGCATATGAAACATTTATAATCATCATTGTTGGTGACATACACACTAACAACATCCACAACATCAATGTTGGTGGTCTATAGTTTTTTGGATCATTATAACTGTAAAGTAACTTTAGAGATTAGTGGATTTTTAATAAATGATTTCTTAGTATAATTGTTTTCAGACATTTGATTAATTATATAAATAATTCATTACATTTCCAGATGTTCCTCTTTACAACTTTTTTTTTCTTCACAAAAATTATTAAATAATTTACTTGCGTTACATTTTGGCTTATGTAATTGACCAAATGTAAATGTTGTTGTGAACTACAGTACTTTAACCATGCTTTTGCCTGTGTTTAGTCTGAGGACAGGAAGGACAGTGATGATGAGAAGTCTGATAGGAACAGACCCTGGTGGAAGAAGCGCTTTGTTCCTGCCATTCCTAAAGGTGAGGAGCCCAACTCTTCAGTAATGTTTTTGTGAGGAGTACAAGTCTGACATTATATGTGGGTCAGTGACCAGACAGATACATTAATATAGAAACTGCTGGCTAGAAATAAAGTGTATTCTGTTAAAATGAGGAACATGTTGCTGATCCTATATTTGACTAACTTGGTTAATGGCATATTTGGATTTATAGTAAACATTTTGAAGACTAAATCTGATAATGATGTTGGGACCACTGTAATCTCCATGCCTATAACTACAAGACTTCTATGAATATTTGAAATGCTTTATTGGGATAATTGAATTACTGAATGTGAATTAGTATATCAAATTTTGTAATTTAGACAATTTTTAAAGATAAATATTGTTCATGTAAAACAATTAATTATAAATTTAGTTCAGAATTTTTCCATTTAAATCCTTTTTAAAAACATAAGCAACAAAGCTTTCCCAAACTTTTGAACAGTCAAACACCCAAGTGCAACTCAAATCAGTTTAAGATTCTGCTGCCCATTAGCTATTAGCATTTAGTATGGATCGGGCAAAGAGTTTGTGTTTTTGAAGCCCAACCCTGTCTGTTGCTGTCTGTGTTCCTCACACAGTGCTCTATTGGACGGCAGAGGGTGAACTCCCAGGTAACCCGCTCTTCAAGCTCTCTCCCACTCAGACTAGTGCTGTACACTAGCGACCTTAATTTATGCTAGCACCCGTAGACTCTTCCTCACCGCTGCGTGATGGCCAGAGCTGTGACGTGACACAGTCTAAAGCTTCATCTTCTCATCCATGCAGCCGTTTTGGTTTCTTTTTGCAGCCGTTTGCTCTTTGTTATGCCACATTTTGGAACTGTTATTGGGAGCTTCTGAAATTGTGATATTTTGACCTCTTGCTTTTTTAGACTTCCTCTCATATGATGTAGGGGTGGGAATCACAGGTTAACTCTATGATACAGTCACAATATTCTGCCCACTTATAATCTATCATAACACCACTGATTCTGTGATAAATGATAGATTGCAAGAAAATCAAGCAAGGTACAGTATATCACAATTGTGTTCACACAAGACAAGCACTGTGTTTCATTTCAATCGCTTGTGCTGTGCAAGGGAGGGTTGTTGTCACGCTGACCAAAGCATAAGTGCAGCCATCGACTAACTTGCACCCTTGACGTTTCAAAATTCAAAATAGCTCAATATTGTGCTCTGGAAAATTTATGTTCACATACTTATCTATGCATTGATCGCACATGCTCACTCGAAAAACAAATCTGCACAAATAACACCCCAACGGGACATTTTTATAGTGGGTTAGGGTTAGACTTCAAAAGTGAGACCTTCGAAGTCCTCACAGGCTGAACGGAGCAGTTTGAAACGAGACGATCTAGCCTACAGAGGACTGATCTCGTCACGAGGCAACCATTACAGCTGCTATTAAAAAGCGCTGATAAAGTGTGTAATGCCTTTTCTAAAAACGTATTTAAACGTATTTTAAGTGATCTAAAGGCAAAACAAGGTATGCAGAAGTTTGAAATATTTTTCTTTTAATCTATACATGTACACATAAACATGTAACCCGTCTATAAAATCACTCTTTAGTAAAACATTACATACTCTTATTGTTTTTTTTAACGTGTTTAGATATGCAAGTAAAATAAACATAATTTATACATTTAAACTGGAGTTTTCATTTTAAAAACGTCCTGTCGTTATCGGCGTGCAATGAATCTTGGGATGTTCGAGGCCGCGAAGGATCCACCGATTGTGTCCTTTATTACCTGGGAACGAAGGACACATTTTAAGGCTGTGTTGAAGCAGCCTTTGAATTTTTTTGAAATGAGACCGCCTTCGTCGCGCCGTGATAACACAGCACACTTTGAATGCATCCTTCGGAGAATGCAGCCACTGACACAAAGAACTTAGAATGACCAAGAGGCGACACTCAATAGAACAATCCATTGCAACAGCTCCAGATTCCGCCATTTTGAAGTCTTATTGCTGTCGCGATGGCAAGCAGCTGCTTTGTTTTTTATTTATTTATTTAAAAAGCCCATTAAAGCTGAGATACAACCTTACAGCACACTTACTATGACAATCATCAGCCCTTTTGATAGTTTATTTTACAAACTTATAATATGCTGTTGTTCTTTTGAAGTTTTCATTCCAAAATAGCTGCCACCCCATCTAGTGGTTGTTTCCCAAATTGCACTGGAGTGTCGCCTCTTGGTGATTCTATGCTCTTTGACTGAAATTCCTGCTGCTTACAAAGGTGCTACTGTGCTGCAACACTGGTAAACTGACACATCTCGACTCGTTTGCTGTCACTAAAATGTGGTTAACAATGTTTAACTTAAGTTATGTTAAGAAATAAATTGAGTTGCGTTACAAAATTACTTAAAAATTGTTTATTATTTTATTAAATGTAAAGCATTTTTGTTTTCGGTTTTTGGCCAAGTGCATTCAGAGTTTTTAGTTTTGCTTTCAGGCTCAAAATTTTAATTTCAGTGCTTTCCCTAATCAAAAAATCTATAAAAGTCATGTCATGTAATTCACTTATTAAGAGTACGTTTATTCTATAGAATAAGTGCAAAGGTGTATAAACAGTTGTCAAACGGACATATACTTGAAACATGCTTATTTTCCAGAGGGAATCATTTGTGATCAGAGGGAATCATTTGATTCCAGAGGGAATCATTTGTTTCTAGTAAAGAAAGGCTGCATTTGCAACTGATCAGTCATAACTGCATCATCTCAAATCTGTTAAAATTACATATAAAAAGAAAAACATCAGTGTGGTCACATCTAAGCAAATCTTAAAGGCAGTTGTTCATCAAGCCAAACACAATAGAACATGTATAAAAAAAAATTGGCACACTGCCAGCTTAGCTCACCAAAGACAATTTTAGTTGGACAACATATCGACTTAAAAAGTCTTCATCAGGTCACTAGTACAAAGAAAACCCTACTTATAAGGTGCGTCCCAAATCGTATACTTGTGCTCTTTTTCTACGCCATTTTGTAGTATAAATAGTGTAAGTAATGCATTCACACTGAAAACTCTAAAAAGAGTAAGTGCACCCAGATGATGCACTTATTCAACCGTTAATATGAAGTGTGGAATGTTGGACACTTTACACACTCAACAGCCGCTGCTTTGTTTACAGAGCGGAAGGGGCTGAGGTTTCAGCCACTGATGCTGGATTATTTATTTTGAATTGTGAAAGCAAAATTCTCCTACACGAGATTATACCGCCTCCCAATGGTGAATGCGGTTATACTCATTGCAGGTATTATTTGATAGTTTAGTCATTTATTTCACTAATTTGTCAACCATCAAATGTCATCAGGGAAATGGTTTGAATTTCCACTTACTAAAAAAAATGTTAGTGTTCCATTTGGAGCGACACTACATTCATGTATTATGCTGTTGAGTGTGTAAGTGCATAAGTACTGTACATAGTGCAAGTGTATAGTGTACCATTTGGGACGAGGCTATAGTCAAACTCTTGACATCACAGCTGCAAACAACAGTTACCCCAATTAAACAATGAGTAAGTAATTACACAAATCAAAACAAATTTGAAGCAAACAGAAAATGATAAAAAAGACATAAAAAAAATCTCTCAAACTTCGTGGTTAGTGATTGTTTTAATGTGAAATACTTTATACTGTATGTAAATGTGCTTCTACACTCAAAAAGACATTCATCAACATTAATACATAATATAATATGAATTCATAAAAAATATTTGATAATACGCGAGCGCTAGTCTTTAAATTGGTTGCTGTTTGGGTCCAGTAACAAATAGATCCCAGCATTTGACCCTAAATATAGACGTTATTCAGTCCTCCTAAGTCAGAAATTTACTCCTGTCATAGACTTAAGAAAATGATACTTTGTATGAGTATAGATGATGTCTTGTAGCCAAAAAAAAGAGAGAAACTGACAGTTTTTTTTTCTTGTCCCACCCCTGATATAAAAACAATATCATCTCATCTTTGTTTCCTTCATACAGTCAAAGTTCACATGGAAATACACATGACATTTTGCACCACACAGCTCCACGTTACTTCACTTGTGACATGCTTCATTTCAGTTGCCCATTACTGATTATTTGATAGCGGCTCATGTGTGGAGCAAGCATGTTCCTCCATGTGGTTGCTCCACAGTACACTGGAGAGAATCTGTGCCTATTGGTCAAGCTTTCTCATAAAAAAAGAAAACAAACACACGACCGCAGCGTACTGCAGTATATCTGAGTATAATAGCTTTTGTTCATGTCCGCAGTGCCGATTGCCGGGCTTCGGAAGCGGGACAAGGCAGAAAAAGACGAGCAAGGAGCAGAGAGGGTCCCACAAGGTCTGCTCCCAATTAACTCTGTCATACACTCACTAAAACAGTGGTCACCGAACTTGTTCCTGGAGGGCCGGTGTCCTGCAGATTTTAACTCCAACCCTAATCAAACACACCTCAACAAGCTAATCAAGGTCTTACTAGGTATACTTGAAACATCCAGGCAGGTGTGTTGAAGCAAGTTGGAGCTAAAACCTGCAAGGACACCGGCCCTCCAGGAAAAAAAATTATATATATATATATATATATATATATATATATATATATATATATATATATATATATATATAATTATATAAATAATGTAATTTTCATCTATTAAGCAGTGACATAAATTTGTCTTAGGTTAGGCACAACTATATTCAATACAAAGAAACACACAATCAACAACGAAGAACACACTTAGTCCTATGATGCACCTTTAGAAATATCAGATCTAAAGCACAAGATCCTGCTTGACCTAATTGAATTCTTATTTATTGTGTGTCAGATGAGCCTTCACTGCTCAGACAGAGCTCCAAAACCCAGTCAGCAGAGGCAATTATGGACAAGTACATCAGGTACATGGAGAAACGACCCGCACAGGCTGACGGAGCAACTGCTGGAGGTTATGTTGGACAAGGTTTGTCAGAATAAAACACAACACACGCTCACCCAAAAAACAAGTGAGCAGTATTCTTCCTTATATTCAGTGTTGTGCAGGGTGTCCACGTAGTCTTAAAGTCTTAAATAAAAAAAAATTAGGGCTTAAAAAGTCTTAAACTCACTGAAATATTGACTTGAAGTTCTTAAACATTTTAAATGGGTCTTAATTTTTCATTGTCCATGTAAAGCTACCCAATCAGGCCAACACCCATACAGTCACCAGCAATACATCTCAGTAAAACTTTTAACAAAACTCTGTTTTGTTGATTTGGTTACTCACAATAACATTTGTAAGCTCTCCATGTGTTTATAGACCATATGTGGTGGGGACACTGACCTGGACAGACTGTTGTACATTTAGTTTATGATAGTTTTTAAAACTCGTCAAAGAATGGGGAAAAAGTGTAACTGTCAATATGGTGAATGAAGCCCCGCCTACTAGCACAGGATCAGCACAGTGCACTGCCGATCAGCAGTCGCTAAATGGTGAATAAAGCCCGCCTTTTAGTACAGGAGCCAATTAACGATTGCTTTAGAATGACAATTCTTCTGGTGAGGGGCTCTGACCAGATGTAAGTTTTTAAAGATTTTGGTGATACAAACATTTAGAAATGAAACTAAATAGACAGTTGTTGTTTAGTTTTATTGGTTATTCGTATTATGAAATGTAATGGTAAGCTTGGCAAGTATTTTTGGAGAATTTGATGTTTCCCCATTCAAGCAGAATGCTCAAGCATACTGCCCGAGAGGCATTTTAAAGATGGCTGCCGAGTGAAATGACTTGCCTTAAAGCAAAGTGTCCAAACTCGGTCCTGGAGGGCCGGTGTCCTGCATATTTTAGTTCCAACCCCAATTAAACCGTCTGAACCAGCTAATCAAGCTCTTTCTAGGAGTGCTAGAAACTTCCAGACAGGTGTGTTAAAGTAAGTTAGAGCTAAACTGAGCAGGACACCGGCCCTCCAGGAAAGAGTTTGGACACCCCTGCCTTAAAGCCTCAAGTAATTAGAATTTTTTTAATAGGACAAAAAAAAATTCTTATGGTTTAACCATGTCTGAAATTTAACTCAAAACGCTCTTAAAAAGCCTTAAATATGATTTTGTGAAACCTACAGAAACCCTGTTGGAGATGAAATAGAATATTTTCTGGAATATAAGCTGTGGCTAAAGCAGTGGGTGTAATAAAGCAAGAGAAACATGACACTTATCCAAAGGCATTTGTACAAGTTGCTTTTTCTTTTATAAAGTGCTTTTCCCACTCACCAACAGACTTTCATAATAAATGCCGTTTTAAGTCCACTTAAATTTCTGGGTGTTTTCTTTTCTCAACTTTTCTTTTTCTCAATACTTTTAAGAGTTTGTTTTAAAGGGAGGGGAAATATTTAAGGCCACTGGTGGATGTTGCATGAAATTAAACAAGAAGATACAATATCTTTTTTTTAACAAATTTATCATCTAGAAGTATGAGAGTAAGGAAATAAAGCAAATGTGTTTGAGCAGAAGCGATCTCATCGGTCAGTAAAGACTGTTATATCGCATCAGTGTTGCTTTATGTTAAGTGTCTGTTTCATTTGCTTGCATTAATATTGGCTTGTAGGAAAGATTGATTTATTTACTGATTTATGGTAGAGTTTGGGTTTGCATTTTAATTAACTGCATAAAACTGCTTCAACTGATAAATTACTGAAATGTTTTTTTTTTTTTTTTGCCCAACACTGCTTATTTTTCTCTATACTCTCATTCTGATCAAAGTGATCAGTAGTTTGTTATGCACTGATTTACTTTGTTTTTCAGAGTCTTGTCGAGAAGGGGACAGTGAGCACGACTCTCCTAAAGATGAAGCTCTGCAGAACATCTCTGCTGATGATCTTCCGGATTCTGCCAGTCAGACGGCACCACCTCAGGACAAGACTTTCTCCTTCAGGTCTTTCAGACTAGCAAACTCTTACTCTTATAAAAAAAAAAATTCTGATCATAAATTGGCATTTTTATTTGGAATCCAAAACGGCAGTGTAGATTAACAGATCCTCTCTGTTTAATTTCTGCAGTGATATTAAGAAGAAGCTACGCCTGGCACTTTGCTCTGCAGATTCAGTTGTGTTTCCCATCATTCCACCTGCAACAACACGCAACGGTCTTCCAGATCATGCAGATCCTGAAGGTTTGTGTTGCTCCTATTATTGTACATATTACTGACCCTTCAAAACTAATTTATAATGTACAGTTCTTCTAGTTTATGCCACTGCTACATTATTTATTTATGTATTATTGATATTAAAAGTAACAGTAATATTATTATTGTTATATTAAATATAAATCATTAAAAGTTCTTAAAACATGATTATTTTTTAATATAATATTTATGTATTATAGCAATATGAAATATAACATACAATAATAATTGTTAATGTTGTTATTAGTAACATTAAGAACCACTATTTCTAGCCTACTCTTTTTATAACAGTCATTACTTTTATTTTTTCATTTATATTAAATAACAATTACATTGTTTTGTTATTGCATATATCTTGTATAACATTATAAATATATTATTGTAGTTCATTTTATATTCAGCTGTTAGGGTTTATGAAATACAGTACTACTACTATTATTAAGAAGAAAAAGAAAAATATTGTTTAACAATAGCATTTTAATAATAGCCTTGTTTTTATTCATTATTTAATTATTATGACTACATAGTCCTGTTTCAAAGGAAATTCCCTTTTAAAATAAAGTTTTTGCAGCCTTGTACACATGGGGTGAAAGTAGCTGTTGTGAGGTTGAAGACGCTGTGCATTGATGTCTGGCCCCTGTCTCCTCTCTCTCTCCTCAGACAACGAGATTGTGTGCTTTCTGAAGGTGCAGCTGGCGGAGGCCATTAACCTGCAGGATAAGAACCAGATGGCACAGATCCAGGAGACCACGCGCTGCGTCAGCCACCTCGACCCGCGCACCTGCAGAAAACTGCTCACTGCCATGGCAGAGGACTACAGGTACACACATTATTCTTTTAGTGTCCCTAGCTTTCGGTCTCACTGGGTCTGTTTACATGGATACTAGTAATCTAATTATTTCCTTTAAACTCAGTGAAAAAAAATGATGGTTAAGGTGTTTACAGTAGTTTTTGGAATATTATTTTTATGTTCCTATGTCACAGTACATTGACGGATTAATGGTACAAGACATTTTGTCTCCATGTGGTGCAAACTCGCATGTCAATATACAGTTTGTCTTTGTTGCGGTACAATATACAGCTTTATGTCAAGTGCAGTTGACATAACTCAAGTGCAGTTACTTATTTGTAGGTCCACATAATCTGTGCATGTAATTAACCCATCATCGAGTCTATGTATTTATATAAGTTTATATGTGTTCAGTTTTTAAAAAATTATTTTCACTAATGTTATTGTGATATAATAATAATAATATTAAAATGTCCATATGTTTTATTTACAATATAGTTTGTAAAGTAATATTTTTCATCTTTTAGTAAATATATTAAATGAAAGACTTGCTTTGTTTAACAAATAAGTGTATCTAATTGGATTTGCATTGTAAACATTAAATAAAAGTTCAAATGTAATATTTTTTATTTCATATATTAAGTTTTTATTTACGATACTCCCAAAATCATTCCTCATAAAACCACAGATTTTTTACAAAATTCTCTGCAGAAATAGCAAAAAATGTCTGCAGAGTCTGTCTGGCCCTACCTTTTTGTCAACATGTACATGCATATAGATTATGGCACAAACAAATTCTTGCTGTTTTGTTTACCAATAAACTTTTGAGGATTGCCTTGTTTATGTTTCCATGTGTTGCAAAGTAGTGTGAAAAGTCCTGCATAGCAGTAGGTGTTTTCTGATGTATAACCACGAAATTTCTACCAAAGCACAAATATTTCAGATCTACTTTGATTCGTGTACTTTAAGTATGATTTTTCTGGAAAACCATAATAAAACCTCAGTATAGTGATTAATACCACGAAAACAGTGGTAAAATCAGAATATTGTTGTCCATTTAAATGTGTTGATTAGCTATGATTCTATCAAGAGTTAAAATCTATCAAGAGTTAAAATCTCAGTTCTCAAACCTATTTCTGGGGTACCACCATTCTGCATATTTGGCCTGTACAGTGTGTCTCGTTTAACACACCTGATTTAGATAAGCTCATGTTCATACCGACATGTTAGCTGCTCTTTAGCTCTTGCATATGGTAAATCGGCTGATCTCAAAGTTAACTTCACTTTGACACAAGAGATTTGCACCACACTGTTAGCAGCACCGCCAAATGAAACTTCTGACAGAAATGTGAAGCATTATTTACATTATATCATCACATTTGCATACAAGTCACGTTACACTCCGTTTTATACACTTTGAATTGAACACACTTCATTCAAACTGCAGCCATGGCAGAATATCTTCACAGGGCACTTGTGGTTGATTGGAACAAACCTCTGAAGTAGTAAGAGAAACATGCAACATAGGCAGAGCGGTGGTAAGCCAGGCATAAAATATTTGCGAAAAAAATTCTGATTCCGTGCCATGTGTTCAGGACTGGGAAAATAACGCAATCGTTTCTGTAAACTAAGAAACCACTTTTTTTCCTCCTGCACCTTTGCTTGGGTGTTTTCAGATCATATGATGAGATGAGATCATTCACTGGTTCATCTGGTTACCCAATTACATTGTCTGTTAAGGCAACAATAACATGACTTTTGACATGACATGACGTATACATTCTAAAATGTATTCCATAATGTGTTTCCATAGTAGTTTCTGCACCTTTTTTAGCAGATAAATAGTTTTTTAAAAGTTAAAGTTTATGTAAACGTTTATTTACAATTCAATTTTTGAATTTAAGCACATCTTAGCATTTTCATCCAACATCCAAAATGATCCCTTTTCTCTCTTTTACTTGCACACAACTTAAATTGTGCAGACAATTTTTTTGGCAAGACTCAATAATGAGTGTTTTGTGCGATAGGAAGCGGGCTCCATACATCGCCTATCTGACACGTTGTCGGCAGGGCCTGCAGACATCTCAGGCTCATCTGGAGAGACTCCTGCAGAGAGTGTTGAGAGATAAAGAAGTGGCCAACCGCTACTTTACCACTGTCTGTGTCCGACTACTGCTGGAGCACATGGAGTCCAAGATGCTTGACTTCATTAAAGGTTTGCATCAGCCTCTGCAAATGCGTTTTTATAATTTAAGTCAAGTCTATTCTGCTCACAAAAGCTGCACTTTACTCAATTAATAATACAGTAAAAACTGTGAAATATTATTCATATGTAAAATTACTGTTTTCTTGTTGAATGTAGCTTAAAACTTCATTTAATTCTATGGTTCAAAGCTGAATTTTTAGCATGAAGCAAGACATTTTTTTTCAACATTGATTATGATGATTTGTTTAAATATTGATTAATCATTGAGAACAGATAATAATTGTTGATAATAATAATAATAATAATAATAATAATAATAAATTATGCCAAAAAAAATATACATCTAATTTTTAACTTAATTTAATATATATATTTTTTGAATTGTATAAATATTTTTGATGTTTTACAGTTTTTACTGTGCTTTTGATAAACTTCATGCAGCCTTGGTGAGCAGAAAAGACTTCTTTTAGAAACATTAAAACGTCATGCTGATCCACAGCTTTTGGCCGGTAGTGTATAACTGCTTGTACTTTCACATTTGGTGTTGATTGCTGAATCCTGAAAAATCCGGACCTTTATTAGTCATATGGTCATTCTGAGAGCAGAGGTGGATATTTGTCTCATTAGAGCTGAAGGTCTTTAATTACCTGCCGGCCACTAGCCAGCTGGTGTTCTCTGTCAGAGACCAGTTCAGTGCTTATAAAAATACATGTGTTTTTATAGTTACTAATTTTATGTAGTACTTACACATGGTTGGCCCTTCTCTGGCCATAGTGGCTCATTAAGTTTCTATTTGGTGTATTGCTCTGGTGTTCAGTGTATTGATAATGCCTGAGATTCTTGGAGATGTGGTGGTGGATTACATTCTTATTAATAGTGTAGAAACATCACTGTCTGACTATTGATTTAGTTCATTAAAAATACGGTACTAATCAAGAAGTTTGGAATTTTAACATTTGTTTTCAATTAAATCTTCAAGACTGCAACATCCTAAATTAGTAATACTTGGAAATATAATTAAAATTTAAAATAAATAAATTAATAATTATTGTAATATTTTATTATTAATAATGTTATATTTTCCAAACTTTTTTCTTCACAAATAAAGTACAACTGTCTAACCCTACATTTTTAAACGGTTGTGTAAAAAAACGTAACTACAAAGCACTAGATTCACACAGACATGCTATTTGTAAATAAAATCATTTTTTGTCATCAATGGACAAAGAAGAGAGGCTAGAGTAGCTGCAGATGGTTAAAAATCTACAATATTGCCATTATACGGTATAAAATGACCAAGGGTTTTTAACTGATATTTAATTGAATGTAGCGTTTGACTTGTATTAAGAAACCGTGCATTTGAGACTGACTCTTCCTGTTGTTCTGCAGCATTTCAGGGATGCACAGCAGCTGATGATAAGACAGCAGCCGTGGAGGATTTCCTGCGTTACCTGTATGGAGCCATGGCCCATGATGCCATCTGGCAGTACGCCAGTGAAGAGCAGCTCCAGGACGCACAGATGGCCATCGAACGCAGCGTCATGAACCGCATCTTCAAACTGGCATTCTACCCCAATCAGGATGGGGACATCCACAGAGACGAGTGAGTTTTACCTGCTTCCTTTTCTCTTTTAATTCTTTCAGTGTGTCTGAACCACATGTGCTGCATCGAACAATCTCTTCTCCAGTTCAATCCAGGCGAAATTAGAAAGTATCCGATGCTCTGATGCTCTAAACCAGTGGTCTCACCTCAGGGCCATTTTAGTGACTGACAAAAAAAGTGGACACCTGACATAATTGATGCATCTGAGGATAACAGACATGACGGTTTTATTTCAACCGTTACCTGTCATCAGTGATAATGCAAATCAGCACGTTTATCGTGTCACACATAAGCTGCTGAAATATATCTGTTGTTGTTGTGTGTATGGCCAGGCGTTAGACACTCACTCAGTCATTTTTCCACAGATTATATGTCGTCAAAACTCCTCCGTCAAAACAGCTTTTTGTTTCTTGTTGTAAATATTGAAGGGGGAGTTTAAATTGCTATGCAAATACGACAAATAGTAGGCAAAATAGTTATTATTCTGTCCCAACCAATTGTATTGTCCCAATAGCGTAAGAACAGCAGAAAGCAGTTTGGGTAGCTTAAGAGACTTCACTGGCAAAATAAAGCTTTAGTTAAAAAAGTGCACTTACGGACATATTTTTTACTTTTAAATCTGCGACAGAATTAAAACACATGTGTGTTACTCTCGACTGTACACTGAGAGAAAATAAAAGTAGAACTAATCTGAATGCAGTACTTTAAATGAAGACTGGGTGGTGGGTCTAAACCACAAGTGACTAGATGCGACTGCACAACAATGATTGAGGTCCAAAAGCATGTTTTCAGATCTCATATTTTTGATGTCAGTTGCGGGAGGGAGGAGGAGGGCGTACTGTAAATGGCCCATGGGCCGGCAGATTAAGACCCCTGCTCAACTCATTTTGGGCAAGTCCCCATTTTTTTAGGATGTTATTATTAATATATTAATCTCAAGGTTATCTATAAGCTAATGTGCTTCAAAATGATGACAACATAAGCATTTAAAGGATGTAAGCATTCTAAACTTGTTTCCTTTGCCAAAATTGATCAATGATTTTTTTCAATGACATCACATCATGCTTCAATTTCTCAACAGATCTTCTGACCAGTCAAATGCTGTGTTAATATCTGAAGTGTCTCACCCCCTACTAGATGCTACTGCTGCAGTTATTCACATGAAACCGAGCGTTTATACCTTAAATATTCACCTAAACACTCTCTGGCTCTAAAAAACACACTAGCACGCAGCAGCAACCGCAGCAATAGAGTATTAGTATATCCATCTCAGCATTATTATTACAAACTGTGGTGGTTATAAGTCAGATGTGGAGCGCACATACTTAAGAGCGGTGTTGTCGCGCGCCTACTGAAGGGCGGTATGTGTCGCGGGGGCACTTTTGATCATTTTGGAAGGGCACTTTCTATCCAAGACTAATAAGGGCATGTGCACTGCACAGGTTGAGCCCTATGTGTGCTAGTGCCTGAGCTACTCAAAATGCCCCACCCTGTCATTATATTGTTTTACTTAAAATTACGTCTTGCAAAAAAATAAAAAGCTGGACTTCAAGGGGACCCTTAATGTCCAATAACGGGATGTCTCTTTTATTCAAGGCTATTCCATGAGCACATTCAGCGACTGTCTAGAGTGGTGTCGGCCAATCATAAAGCTCTGCAGATCCCTGAGGTAACCATTGGCTGTTTGTCTTGGATGTATAAGCAATTCTAAATGAAGACAGAAAAGCAGTCTGATGTGTTTGTGTGAATCTGCGCAGGTGTATCTGAAAGAGGCTCCGTGGCCTTCTGCACAGGCTGAGATCAAGACCATCAACGCCTATAAGACCCCGCGAGATAAAGTGCAGTGTATCTTGCGCATGTGCTCCACCATTATGAACCTGCTCAGCCTGGCCAATGAGGATGCTGTACCCGGCGCGGATGACTTCGTCCCTGTGCTCGTCTTTGTTCTGATTAAAGTAAGTCAATAGACACGTCTGCAGTGTGGTAATGCTGCTAATGGCTTTAAAGTGTGTTGTGTGTTCTGTAACAGCACAATGATCATTTCTAATACTCGGCACAAAGGCCCAAAAGCATTGGTGTCTAGGTAATCAAATATCCTTTGGCGTTTAATAAAAATATGTCTTTAGAAGCCGATTAAATGATTTCAGCTCGTTCTGTGATTGCAATTGTGGCACATCCACAGCACACAGTGACTTAATTAAACTGTTTTAGGATGTAATGAAAAGCTGCACATCTTTTTAAATGCAGCTCTCTAAAGGCTTAAAGATTCTTTTCTTAAGCCTTTAGAAAGAGCTCCAGTATTACCTTGTCTTTGCCTCTGAGGTTTAAAAACTTAATAGCATTATAAGTGCATTATAATGCTCGAGGAAAGGTTTAATTTAAATGAGTTAATACTAATATTATTATCTATAACAGGGATAGGGAACCTATGGCCCGGGAGCCACATATGACTCTTTAAACAAAAATATGTGGCTCTCCGCCTTTCTCCCTACAAAAAACAATTATCTCACTAAAAATCCGTTTCCTATTAAAAATACAATTAAAATGACCTTTTTATTTTATATTTTTACAGCAAAATGAATAAGGATAAAAATAAAAGGACATTTCAATGTGCATGTGCAGTGCTGTGGAGAAAAAAAAGAAAAAAATTCTATAAATTAACCTTTCTTAATTCATGGACTTGTCAACATGTGATGCTTATATATCCCCAATCGCTCTTTTAAAAAAATGCATTTGGCAAAAAAAAAAATCAGAAATAGCTCTTTGCTGAGAAAAGGTTCCTGACCCTTGACCTATAATAGTATATTATTATCTGCATTTATTTGTTAAATGCAAAAATAAAAATGATTTTAATGTAGAATTTTATTAAATATTAAGTTTAAAATTGTTAACATAGTAAAAAGTATTTCATATATTATATATAAGCAATCAGAGCTTGACATTAACTTTTTTTGATCACCAGCCGCTGTGGCTAGTAGTTTTCCAACATTAATACCCGCTCACCATTTTCACCAGCCACAATTTTGTTGTTGGGAAAAGATATGCATAAATATTGACTTTGGCATCCTAAAATTACTTGTTTTAAATTTTGTGTAATTTCCACATGCCTCCTCATTCATTTCACTTTTGTGTGTTGTGTGTGATCTTGCTCAACGAGCATGAGCAAATGGGTTGTGCTTTCATAGTGTCGCATTGCAATTAGTTTTTATTTTACATGACTTTTGATGGCTCAACCCTAAGGATTTCATTTACACCATAAATAAAAAAGAAACTATTCTTAGCCTAAAATAACTGTAAGCAAAAGAAAGCAGATGAAAAACATACTGTGTGCGGTTAATGAAAGGATGATCACGTGAAAGTTTAAAGCGAAAGCAACCTGCTGCTCACAAAAAGACCTTTAAAAAATCTGGAGCATCAGGACTGTGGGTGCATGAGTGTTGCTTTTTGTCCAGTCTATTTAAAGAGAACCGATTAAACCAGTTACGTTTCCAGGCACAGATGCTTCTCGCAAGGAACTGTTTTAACTTTTAGACACTCGCGTGCATTACATCACCTGAATTCCTCCTGGACACCGAAACCCTCATCAGTGCGTCAGGATCGCTTGTGTCTCAGATCATCCTCTCATTCATTATTCACCTGCTTTCTTTTGCTCACGCGAACACCGTGATTATTGTCGTCCATCATGCTGGCCCCTCAGTGGGCAACAGTTATTGTTGAACTCTGCTTTTTCAAGAAAACTACGATTTAAAATTTACTTCAACCAGCCAAAGCGGCTGGTGGAGAGTAGCTGTCTAACCCACCACAGCTTAAATCTACACACATTTGGCAGGTGTTATTGTCAAGCCCTGTTAGCAATTATATATAGGCACAATCATTAGCCCTCCTGTAAAACTGTTAAGTGGTGCTTAATGAAGAGATGATTTTTAAATATATAAATTTTAAAATAATTTAATCATATTTATATATTTTTAAATATAAAATAAAATATTACCTCATTACGTGTGTCTTAGCCATGATGTTAATACTAAGTGTTTTACTAGTTAGTTTACAAGATACTAGAATTCCGCTTAAAGTTTAAACTAAAAGGTTGAACTAGGTTCATTCGGTTAATTTGACAAGTGAAAGTAACATCATTTTTTAAATCATTAAACATTTTAAGAATATATCATGTCATTTAAACTTAAAAAAACATTTTTTTAAAGAATGTAATGCATCTTTCCTTATTACTGCTTAATTTTTGTCAAATATATTCATTTTAAACAGCATTGTACTTAAAATGTTAAAGCCTCCTAAGTCTTCAACAACAAACTCAATGCACCAATCCATATTTTGTTTGCTTGATGGCCTGTTATTGTTACATGTGGGGTTTTTTTCCCCCCGCATCTCCCCACCCAATAGCAATTTGTGTCTGCAATGCTCACGCCCACACCAGATTTTTCGCAACTTGTAAGTGCGCTTGAATGTGTAAGCATGCACAATGTGGGTGGTCAGATGTTAATTCCCCCCTCTCGCTCGTTCTCTCCCTTCCTCCAGGCAAACCCACCCTGCCTTCTGTCCACCATTCAGTACATCAATAATTTCTACGCCAGCAGGCTGAGCGGGGAGGAGTGCTATTGGTGGATGCAGTTCACTGCTGCCGTGGAATTCATTAAAACCATCGACGATCGCAAGTGAAGCAGAACAGCCACCTGTATGGGCAGACTGTAGGAAGGAGAGAGAAAGAGAGAGAGAGAGAGGACAGCGCGGATGACTACTCTTCCCTTCATCCAGATCTGTAAAGGTGTACATAAATAGACACTTTGATCAAAAATTAGACAGGTTTTACTTCAACGCCGTGTTAAACGAATGAAATCCATGTTAGCAAATGGCAACGTTGGCATTCTCTACTGATCTCGCTTATAACCCACAACCTTTTCTGTAGTATTTGGGGAGCAACCGGGGCTTAGAATCAACTCTTTCTCTATATTAAAAGCAGATTTAGCAAGTAATTAGCTCTGTTGAAACGTAGCTATCAAGCGAAAAAGGGACCAGGAACTATATACAGATCATGTGTCGGGACGCTTCAGTGTAAATCGTGCAATCTCACCCCCGTTCAACGCTACCAGTCACATTTCCAGTCATATCGAAGAACGCATCACCTAAAGATGCTGCCAATGTATCAATGTTACAGATTGAATGAATCATGCCATTATTTTAACAGGGCAGCTTGTTCTATGAATGTAAACAGGTGTTGTCATTATTGTACATTCATTCTTTTCCTACGTTTTCCGGACGATTTGAAAATAAGGGCCCACATATTTATATAAAATAAAATGTATTTATTACTTAACTCCTGTATTTAATGTTTTATTATACTTACTGGCTGGGTTAATGCACATGGTTCGGTCGAGGAATCTCACAGAGAGCTGCTAAAACAGGGTGTCTTCACATTAGTGGATTAGTGCCTTGCTGATATTTGCGCTAACACTCGTTCCTTCGGTTTTGGTGGATTTTTCAGCACACCTAGGGTTCCTTGCATCTTCCTGAACAAGTCAGGTCAGATCTGTCACATTTAAGTCTGGCTTAGCGTAGTTATTAATAACAATCTGGTACATGCCAAGTTTAAACACCCCACAATTGGATGCTTGGTATGTCGATGCTTGTTTGTCTTACAGTGTGGTCTTATATACTAGTCTCTGCTGTTGTCCCTGAAAATATTGACCTAGTGTTTAAAGTCTATGTTTAAAGTTGGGATACTTTAGGTTTAAATCACTGTTCCTTTTATAATGCAGCTCCCAAGTCAAACTATGAATTAGGAAAACTATTGCTGTTTCTTTTGAGGTATACGCTCAGATAATTATTATTATATATTTTTTATTTTAGAGGTACAACTTTTTACCACCTGTAAAGGAACCAGTTAATATTATGCAACCTTTAGGCAGGGAAAAGGTACAGCAGCTCCCTTTAAAGATATAATTCACCCAAAAATGAAAATTTGCTATTAATTTACTGATGTAACCAAGAAAAATACATTAGAACAAGATGATTTTTATGCATAACCACCTTTCTCTACCGACACAACAGACAAAACAAAAGAAATGCCCTGAAAAAACCTGCTGGTCTTATGAAGCGGAATGATTGGTCTCTACTAAAAAGTGATGATCATTTACAGCACAAGCTTGTTCTTCAGTCTGTTGTGAATGCATTATATTGATGTATATCTGTAGCCTCTCTAGGTGCCAGTAGTTGTTGAGCAGGAGTAAATTAACAGCAACATTTTGTTTTTGGATGATCAGTCCTTTTAAAGGGAGAAGGTGATCGCTGCAGAGCCACTTTGGTGGAGCTCACGTCCAATAAGGCGGAGCTTGAGCACCAGCTCTTCCTCCAGTAACCCAGCAAGCTTTTTTTGTTTTAAAAGATGTCTAATCTAAAAAATCTATTAGACGTCCAAGACTAGTCATCAAATGAACAGAAATAATGACTACACATATAAAGTCTGTCTAATCTGTCTATTTGATGACTAGTTTTTGGCTATTCTTAAGTGTCTAATAGATTTTTACTGATAGCTCAAGTTTAGCCTTGTTTTTGCCAAGCTGTCTACCTTTAGATGTCTATTAAACACAAAATTGTTTGCTGGGAAGCTGTCTTAATGCGTACACCTACCCTGTCCCTAACCCCAACCCCCAGTGACATCAATTGTAGAAGAAATGCAGCAAGGAGGAGCTGGAGCTCAAACTCCCCCTTACTGGAGCTCAGCTCTGCCCTTGTGGCTCTGCGGTGAGTACAACTTGTTTAAAGGTACTCTCCTGGTGATAACCTGTTGTACGCCTAAAGATGCAATTTTTGCACATTTTGTTTTCCTTCTGACAGTGTGTATAGGTTTAAATGGCAAAGATCGCTTTAAAACTGGCATCATTAACAGCGCTTGATTCTTAGTGTATCGATGTTGCTGAGGAGAACATATACATGTTATACAGGCTACCTCATGTGATAATCCCGCTAGCGCAGATCCTTCATAACACCTTCTGCTTTTCATATTAAGTGAATTACAGCACAAATAGGAATATAGAATATCCTCCTCGCGTATGTGTCGGTAAACTCGCCTTTATTAGATCAGAATTTCCCGTTAACCTTTGCACACAAGTAGAAGTAGGGCAAAAAGAACTGTAGCCCTAATATTTAGTTGTGCTTGTCAGCAGTTTTTCCTCCTTTAATGTCATTTCATGTTACTTCTAGAGATGTGCAAACATCTGAAAAAACAAACAAACTGAATCATGGTCCTAAGGATAGTAGATGCACTTAGAACAAATTAGTTCTACCTCCAACTATGTACATAAAGGGATGAATCAAATGTTGTATTGCATTAGCTTTTATAGCCTTTAGAGCTCTGTATATACTTTCCCCCTCATATTTTCTTCTGATTTGAATGATGCATGACTCAATATTGCCGTATATTTCTCATTTGCACAAACTGTAACAAAGAGCATCAGCTATAAGACTCTTTATTTGCAGTGCACTTTGAAGCAACACTGATATTCTGTATGATATAGCAGTTATATTCTATATAACAGAGCTTTTATATTCTATATAAGTGTTATTGCGGAGTATCTTTGTTCGTACTTATAATATTCCAATATAATTAAGAAAGGAATGAGTCAAACTGGCCTTTTCTCTAATGTTTCTCAGTTTCTCTAATGTGGAAAGGGGTTTGCAGTGCTTGATTTTTGTTTTAGTCTGTTTTTTCTAACTAGATGGCTCTGTTCACATTGGGGAGATTAGTTGCCAAAGTAAATCACTGACTATATTTCTAAAACATGTACTTTTACTGAGACTTTTTTGTTGTTGTGCTATCTAAAATATGCACCGTGAGGGTTGTGTAATCTGTGGGAAACATTTGAAGACGACTAAATCTGAATTTCTTTCTGTACATTCTTGAAAAAGTTTTGGCGTTCAGCATTTAACCTGAAGAAAAATGGCGAGGCTTCACTGTGCTAAATATTCTAACCCAAAAGGCTAATATCAAAAAATCTTGTTGGTTTCTAAGACGACTGTTCATTCAACTAATAAAACAAACGACTATTCTACTCAACACCCTGTTTTTAGTGTGATTAACAGGTGTAAACAGGGTTTTACTGTACTGAACTGGCTTAGTATTTACACACTATTGTTGACTGACAGTAAGGTGTTTCACTCGATGTGTTTAAGAGCTTTATAATCCTATCCGTACCATGTTGGTCCACTTTTTTGAAGAGCATGCAAAGAGAATTATGGGTAATGGCTTGCATTTGTGAGCTTTACTCACTTGGGGCTTCTGTTGGGAAGGCATTCTGTGTGTTATGTGATTTAATATAAACCTGTACATAATTCTTTAAAAAACGATTAAAGACTTTTTTTCCGTGAAAAAAAATGCAAAGGTCTGTTTTTCGGCAAATGTCCTGATGGAATCATGTCTGATAATGTATGTTCTGGTTACTTTTAGTTTTAAAGTTCAGAAGGCCTGTTTTTGCAACGCTTTCTTAGGGAAATTCGTAACTTTTTTGATTTAGTGGCGAATTTATATGAATTTGTACGATCTCATTCATACAATTTAGTACAATTTGCTCATCCCCGATTGATGGTTAGGTTTAGGGGTGGGGTTGTGTGCCACGCCTCCTTTAACAAAAAAAAACACATTTTAGTGCGAATTAGCCACTAAACTGACAAAAAATAAAATAGTTACGTTTTCTCGTGAGATCAGGTTGGTTTTGCCTACTCCTGTAAAACCCAACAGTTAGCTTTATCAAATGAAATGAGTGTAGTTAACTCAAAATTTACTGGATGTTAATTTTACTCATTTAAAAAAAAAAGAGTTTTGAATTCAATGTTGAAGGAGTTAATTAAATTCCTCATTACTTCAACCAAAATGGAGTAAGTTCACAGTACTCGTATAGATTAGTTTTTTAAACTCAAATGGTTTGTCACAATCAGCTTCCTCAAACGGTTTGAGTTGCCCTAACTTATTGGGTTTTCCAGTACTCAGTTGGTTTGAGTTGCCGTAACTTATTGGGTTTTACAGTACTCAGTTGGTTTAAGTTCTTTTCATTTATTGGGTTTTATTGTGCTCAAATTGCTTCGTTTACTCAAATAGATAAAGTTTACAGTACTCATTAAGATTACTTTTTGAACTAAAATGGTTGTTTGCAATCGGTTTTCTCAAATAGTTTGAATTACCTTCATTTTTTGGGTTTTACAGTGCATGTTATAGAAAAGGCATTTGTGACCTTATTCTGTAATCATCATTATATACCTATTGTATTTCACTTGTTTTTTTTTCTCGCGAAGCAAATTTTTTAAAATTATGATATTCAGAATAGTGTAGGAAAGCCCTCTTTATGAATTCCTATAAAGACTTATTTCTTAATTTATTTACATCTCAGTCCTGACAGATCTCAAAAATTCAAGATTAAAGACTTATTTTCGACTGTTTACATCTCAGAAATGATATTAACCTCTTCTAATTCTGTCTTTTCTCATAATTGTGACTATTTAACCCTTCTGCTCTGAGGAATAAATCATAATTGTGTAATTCAGAATTCTAAAGACATACTATAAAAATGTTGTGTGTAATTGTCAACTACACTAATATACACTACCTGAATAAAGTCTTGACGTCGATCCAGTTGTAAGAGCAACAAATAATAACTTGACTTCTAGTGGATCATTTGGAAAAGTGGCAGAAGGTAGATTTGTCAGATCAATCATCTGTTGAACTGCATCCCAATCATCACAAATACTGCAGAAGACCTATTAGAGCCTGCATGGACCCAAGATTGACATAGAAATCAGTCAAGTGTGGTGAAGGAAAAATCATGGTTTGGGGTTACATTCAGTATGGGGGTGTGTGAGAGATCTGCAGAGTGGATGGCAACATCAACAGCCTGAGGTATCAAGAAATTCGTGCTGCCCATTACATTACTAACCACAGGAGAGGGCAAATTCTTCAGCAGGATAGCGCTCCTTCTCATACTTCAGCCTCCACATCAAAGTTCCTGAAAGCAAAGAAAGTCAAAGTGCTTCAGGATTGCCCAGCCCAGTCACCAGACATAAACATTATTGAGCATTTCTGAGGTAAGATGGAGAAGGAGGCATTGAAGATGAATAAAGAATCTTGGTGAACTACAGGAGTCCTGCAAGAACGCTTTCTTTGCCATTTCCAGATGACTTATTAATAAGTCATTGCAGAGATCTATGGATGCAATTGTCCAAGCTGATATTAATCTTTTTCCTCACTGCACCATGACTTTAAATTCTATGCTGTACATCATACTGCTATGTCAGACTTTACTGTCCTAATTAAATAATTAAAAATCATGGCATGATCATATTTTATTTTGGTAAAATAAGCATATTGGGGCCTTTGCCTTTCATATAAGCCACATCTGATACCAAATGATCAACTAGACATCAAGTTATTATTTGTTTTTCCTAAAGCTTGGATAGGCGAAAAGACTATTGTCAGATGTGTGTATCAATTTTTTTATTTTACAAAAACAATTGTGTATTATGAAAACATTTTTGCTGCTTATTTGTCAACTACCTTAAATATACTTGACTTATATATAATTTACTTAACTAATATACTTGCCCAAATATAGTATTGCTAAAAAAAAAAAACATTGTATATACTATAATTAAAGTCTCATATGGCAAAGTCTTAAGAGTGAGGAAATTTTCCAAGCTTTATTATTATTAATATATTAATTTACCCCTTGATTTTCAAAAGAAACAGGAGATCAGATTGTTGTTAACATCTTAAATAAAGGCCATTTTCTCAGTGACTGAATCTTCCACACTGTTGTCCATCACTCTCACATCCAGCTCATCACCGGACCCCAGAATGACGAAACAAAGCCAGCCACAAATAGCAAAGCCCCCGCACTCGCCACACATTTAATTACCACTGACAACTGTATAGTGGATTTGTAATTGGAGATTTTTTTTTTCTCCATCCTCAGCGTAATAGTCTCTCTCTCTCCTGCCCTCGCCACTCCACTGCTCTAATTGTAATCTCTCCATCAGAGGAAAAGAACTCAGCGGGACGCCTTTTGCTTCTCTTGATGATATCTCCGAATGTTCATTTAAATTCAAATTTGGCCAGAAAAAGGGGTAATTAGTTGTATTAATAACCCGAAATGACTGGCTTCGGTCTGGAGATGAGATGGCTTTTGTTTAGGTGAGATCGGGCTGGATATCGGCGGCCCGCTGCGCGAGATGGAGGCCTTATTGGCGAAACAGGCTATGATATGAATAAACTTTGATTAGACAACACGAGGTCGTCGCCCCCCCATCTGAACACATTTGGCAGTCCCGTGGCCGTGTTATTGTCGTTTATGCGTTTGTAAACAAAGGTTCTTGGGGGTTTGCTGATTGGATTGTGCACGCTGGATTTGGGAATGGGTTTTGTCTGATGCAACTGTGTTACATATTGATGTCAGATTGTTGCGTGAAGATCTAAACAGCCTGAGGGCCGAGCCCAGATGGCACTGAAATCACAGATCATCAGTCCAGTGAGGCGCACACATGACTACACACACACATACACACTATGCTCAGTACTTGTAAATATTTTGATTTATTTATCTATAACAGCAGAATTTATCGTGGGTCAGTCACCTTTAGCACAGGCTAAACACTTGCTGCTTGTTCAAACTATTTATTTTAAATGAGTTGAAACAACACAATTCTTGTTTTATTTTGGGACAACTTAATTGTTTTATGTTCAAACCACTTAAATTTGTAAAAAAAATATTTAAATATGATTTGATCAAAGGAAATGTGTGGAAACCAGGATTTCATTACAATATACTGTAGGCTGGTACGACTCTACCTAGACCACAGAATGTTAAGTTGCACAAGTATATTTTTGACAACGGCTAAAATAAAAAAATAAATAAAAACATGACTGCAAATGGGTCAAAATAAATATTTAATGCCACAAAATCATTTGATATTAGGTGCACAATGATCCATGAAGGAAATATCATAACACTGTGTTTTATTATGCATTGCCAAGCGCTTCATTTAGACAACTTTAAAGCTGATTTTCTCTGTATTTTGACTTTCAGACTCCAGATTTTTTAAATACTTTTACCTCTGTTCCTAATATTGTTCTGTTTAATAAACCCTACATCAGTGGAAAGTTAATTTATTCAGCTTTCAGGTTTTGTATAAATCTCTATTTTTTTAAAAAAAGAATTGTCGTTTATGACTGATTTTGTGTTTTCAAAATCGCCTTTGGTACATATGAAATGATTCAGTTCAATTCACCTTTATTTGTATAGAGCTTTTACAATGTAGATTGTGTCAAAGCAGCTTCACATAGAAGATCATAGTAAATTGAAACAGTGTAGTTCAGTTTTCAGAGTTTAAGTTCAGTTCAGTGTGGTTTAATAATCACTACTGAGAGTCCAAACACTGAAAAGCAAATCCATCGACGCGCAGCTCTACAGATCCTGAACCATGCAAGCCAGTGGCGACAGCGGCGAGGACAAAACTTCACCAACTGGCGAAAGTGAAGAATCAAAAAACCTCAAGAGAAACCAGGCTCAGTTGGGCAAGACCATTTCTCCACTGGCCAAACGTCTTGTGCAGAGCTGCAGTCAAGGCGCCAGAGGGAGGAAGCTGGACCTCAGCGAAGACATGTCACTCCCTGGAGAATCACAGGAATCAGTCTCATGCTCTCCACTCCTTCATGATCACCACAGTAGCAGCTCAAGATACGGCCTGGTCCAGGATATGGAAACCTTGCGATCATTGACAAATAAAAGTAAAATATAAACACAAACAGTATATGCACAAAGTTATTACAGTACAACATTAGCTTTGCACTTACTAAAAATATAAAAACTATAGCTAAAAACCATATTTTGTTGTGTGTTAAAGGGCACTTATAATACCGATTTTACAAGATGTAAGATAAGCCTTTCAACTCCAAATACCCATCAGATTATTTATTATAGCCTCGAGATTCTGCCTATTTTGGTATCTGAATATATTGTAGCTGTTTTTGTAGCCTTTAAATCCAAATGAGTTGCCCACCGCTCCCACGAGCGTGTCTGCTTCTCATCACGAGTTACATCAGATAAACAGCACAGTGACAGAGACAGACTCAGAAGAAGCTGATTACGGCTTATTAATCAAAAATACCAAGTAAGTTTGTTTGATGTATTTGTGGTGGTTTATTCAAGCCTTTCTGAAACGATGAGTCAAACACAAATGCATTTGCAGTACACACACACACACATATATATATATAACTTAAAAAAAAAAATATATATATATATTATTTAGTTAATAATATATATATTATTAACTTTTAAAAATCACAATGTTGTATTAATATATATAAATATTTGAATCCCA